CACACACACACACACACACACACAGTTAAGCTGGGATGTACTAAGAAAAATGCAGATTAGGGTATGACAATAGACACCCTAGGAAAGCAGTGGTACTGGTGGGATTCTCATCTACTCTTTCCCTAACCACACACACCCGGCTATTAAACCCCACTAATTGCCAAATGGTTGTGTTATTGTTTCAACAATTCCTTTGAGGGATAAATTGTTACACAGAATTATCCAATCAATTGTGGCTCCTTTGAAGGGATGAGTTCTGAGGTCCTTGTTTGGTGTTTGTTCTGACCCTAAGACAACTCCTCTGTGCTGTCTTGTTTCCTGGCTTTCTCCTGCAATTACCCTTGCCTATAGCCTACCAGGGGTCCTCAGACTTTTTTAAACAGGGGGCCAGTTCACTGTCCCTCAGGCCATTGGAGGGCTGGATTGCAGGTCCCGGGACAAGTTGGCTGCTAAGCAGGACAGGCAACGGTGGCAAAAACACCCGGTGGGCCAGAAAAATGTCTTCGGCAGGCAGCATGTGGCCCGCAGGCCACAGTTGGAGGACGCCTGGTAGGCTGTATCTTTATTAGATCCATGAATCTCCTCCCAGTTGCCTCTGGACACCCTTAGGTTTAAACTTCTCCACACCTGGTTGCAAATGACAAGAGATTAGGAGCTATCTTTTCATACCAGGCACTGGGGCTAAGGACTATGGGAAACTTCTCTGGGTGACATTCCTGCTCTTTGAGCTCAGTGTTCTGTTGGTGTAGAGTGGCCAGCCCTGGTGCTGTACCCTGAGAGTTTCTTGCTTGCCTCTTTTGGCATGGAACTGCTGCCTCAGGAGCCAGAGGAAGGGCTATTTTCTCCATATTCTCAGCACATAACACCCAATGTAGAATCTCTATTCCATAAGTTAGAGCTGGGCAAGGGAAGAGAAATCCCACTTCTCAGCTGCACTCAACCAAGACCTACCTGCACCAGCAGGCATCTGGGGGGCGTGCTCCTCCAGGGAGCACAGCCCCACCAGATGTTCTTGCTCATGGGAAGCTGCCCTGGATGCTCCCTTGAGCTGAAGGAAAGAGGGAGTGAACAGTCTAGATTCAGATACCACAGATAAGCTCCCCTCTCTTACTGAATTTGTATAGATTTTCCTGAATAGATGTGTCTTCATTTTCCGTTTGCTCTCCATTCCATTTCTAGAGACTTTAGTGGTTTGAGTGTTTTGTTTAGTTTTGTATTTTTTAAATAATTTTCACCAGTCTCCTTCAGTGGAGCTCCTCACACTATCATGCCAGAAGTCCAAATCTCTATGCAATTATATAGTTAGGGGCCAGATGAGAGTTTTGTTTTTGTCCATATTTTTCTGAGTAAAGACAATACAATTACTTGACTGATATGAGATTTCCACAGATCATATTGGGATTGTCAGAACAAGTGACCAGTGACAGAGGTAATGACAGGTACATGAGCAAGAGCAGGAATGAAGACTCGAAAGCAGTTCCTAAAGAGGATTAAGCCGTCCACGTCATCTGGAAGTTAGGGCTCCTTTTGTTTATGTCAGTAAACAAACCTGCCTCTAAATGGCAAAACTTAACAATTAGCCCCTTCCGTGTTATTTTCTAACTTCTTATTAGGTTAAATAACTATACTTAAGTATTTAAAAGCCCTTTTCCACCATCATAATTAAAACTTACATCTGAAAAGAGGAACATTACGATAAGTAGAGAACATTTGCATTTCTGTCCTATTTTTCAATAGGTTATTTAGACAAAGGCCATCCCTGCCTTTTTCAAAGTAAGAGGTTCTTGATCATTTGCCATGAGTCCTCCTTAGACATGGGTGTGTGTTAGAATTGGTGTCAAAAGCTCCACAGGTGATCTTAGTTTATATCCCTTATTAACAGCAACTGAAATTGTTTTTTAAAAGGTGTAAGTTATAATATGTTACATCTTTTTAATTGTCTAGCTAACTAGCCAGAATACATTTGTAGAGATCTAACTTTAAAAATATAAACATGCTAGGTTTAATTTGATAATAAGCCAAGTTTATTTGTATAGTTTCAGGTACAATGGATTTTCCTCAGGGTTAGATGAGCCTCATCAGACAGTAATGTAATCTGCAACTTTACATTTTTAAAAATGTTTAATATTGGGCGGTGCCTGTGGCTCAAAAGGGTAAGGGCGCTGGCCCCATATGCTGGAGGTGGCAGGTTCAAACCCAGCCCCGGCCAAAAAAAAAAAAAATAGTTTAATATTGATTTACGTTTAATTTTTCCATGTATATATTCATTTTTTTCTTAGATTTTAAACTATTTAATATATATTAAAAGTAAAGTTTAAAATCTTTTTCCTTTACTGATAAGTGATTGATTAGTAAACAAATACTATATTAAGTTGCTACTCTATCAGGAGATTTCTTTTTTGAACATAGCATGTTTCCTTTTATTTTTATTTATTTATTTATTGAGACAAAGTCTCACTTTGTCACCCCCAGTAGAGTATGATGGCATCATAGCTCACAGCAACCTCAGACTCTTAGTTTTCTTGCCTCAGCTTCCCAAGTAGGTAGGACTACAGGTGTCCACCACAACACCCGGCAATTTTTTAGAGATGGGGTCTTGCTGTAGCTCAGGCTGGTCTCCAACTGGTGAGCTTAGGTGATCTGCCCACCTCAGCTCCCCAGAGTACTGGGATTACAGGCATGAGCCACTGTGCCCAGCCTCATGCTTCCTTTTAGCTAGTTACTGGAGTATATATATATCTTCCAAGGATTCTTGGTATTTAAATATAAAGTGCTTTTGTTTTCCTTGAGGTTTTTTTTTCTTTATAAGTAATATTTATTTTGAATCATGGTAAATCAGTTGTACATTAGTTGGCTTTTTAACATAACAGTGCTTAAAAGCTGTTCCTAGAAATGTAGTCAGTTATTTCTATATATCAAAGAAAAAAATTAAGCATTAAGGACTAAAATATTTTTTCTTTTTTCTTTTTTCTTTTTTCTTTTTTTTTTTTTTTTTGAGGGGGGAGGTCTCTGTCACCTGGGCTTAGAGTACAGTGGTGTCATTATAACTCACCACAATCTCAAACTCCTGGGCTCAAGTGATCTTCCCCAGCCTCCTAAGAAGCTGTGACTACAGGCATATGCCAACACACCCAGCTAAAAAATCACTAAAATCTTGCAATTAGATTTAGGATAGGAGACAACAAAATTCTTAAACTCTAGTATAAATTCCCCTAGAATACACCCACATCACAAAGACCTGCATACATTCAACAAGATAATGAGCTTCATAGTTAATTCTAGTTCTGATAGACGATGCACCAAATACAGTAATAGAAAAATGATTGGTTGACTCTACCAGTATGGAAAATATGAAAGAATAGCATCCCTGACTGGAGGCATTGCCCAATTTCCCGGTGCGCCTCCTTTCACTGTGAATGTGTCTTCTCTGTACTTACATGGTGATAGCCACACACACACACTACATTATTTACTAAATTTTTTAAACCATAGCTTTATTGGAAAAACTCTAAAATTTTATTTTATTTTGTTTTTGGTTCCCAGATGTATCGTAGAAACTGAAAATTTAGAAGAAAGAGTAGCTGTAGTAAGTCGAATAATTGAAATTCTACAAGTCTTTCAAGAGCTAAACAACTTTAACGGTGTCCTTGAGGTTGTCAGTGCTATGAACTCATCACCTGTTTACAGACTAGACCACACATTTGAGGTAGGTGTTTTTTAATCGAATTTTCATTCTCTATTGTAAAAAATTAGGATTTTAACAGTTTTGCTCTTTAATTTTTAAATGTTTCATCTGTCTTTTCAGTAGCAGGTTGAAAGATGGGATTATCAAAATTGTATATAAATCAGCTGCTAAAGAGGGCATTCCCATTAAAATGTATTTACAGGTCCCACCCTAAGTTAGAAAACAAACTTTCATCACTAAATTTGTCACATAATGTACAATTAAATGTTCACATAATTGAGTGAAGAATGACAAGGTGAACTAGACTGCTCACACTCACACCCTTCAGTTTGTACTGTAGTCTATGAAAGAAGTCTGTTTGAAGCAGTATTGAAGCTATAGGATCATAACACTATCACTTTAATGATAGTGTTATGTTTGAGCCCATTATTAGCTTGGAATTTTTTGGCAAGACCTGTGATACTTTTTGTAAATATATGCCTCCTAAATATCTTTTTCTTGTAGCAAATACCAAGCCGCCAAAAGAAAATTTTAGAAGAAGCTCACGAATTGAGTGAAGATCACTATAAGAAATATTTGGCAAAACTCAGGTCAATTAACCCACCATGTGTGCCTTTCTTTGGTAAGTATTTCTTTCTGAATTTGTATTGCATTTCTGGACAGAACAAGGCACTTTTTTTTCATTAAATGACTGAATAATTACATGTATAATAAGTAGAGAATGCTTATTTAACAAATACTTAGCACCTGAATCCCCTTATAATTTTTCTCTATTAGGACTTTTTACAATCAAGATAAATATAAGCATTTTGTTCTCTATTTTCATTTTGGGGAGCCATTAGATATTATACAATACTTGTGTTTTTATACCCATAAAAAGCTTTTAATTACATTTTAATAAATCTGGCCAGGTGTGGTATAATCCTATAATCCTATAATCCTAGCACTCTGGAAGGCTAGAGAATCACTTGAGCTCAGGAGTTTGAAAGCAGCCTTAGCAAGAGTAAAACCCTGTCTACTAAAAACAGAAAAATTAGCTGGGTACTGTGGTGGGTACCTGTAGTCCCAGCTACCAGAGAGGCTCAGGGAGGATTGATTAAGCCTAAGAGTTTAAGGTTGCTGTGCACTAAGCTGATGCCATGGCATTCTAACTTGGGGCAATCGAGTGAGACTCTGTCTTGAAAAAATAAATAAATAAATAAAGTTTAATCAAATACTCTACAGAAAAAAGGTATGACCAAATTCAACCATATTTATAATCATTTTTTTGGAAACATTTTCACATGGCTAAAAATCATAGTGTTTGGTGCCTTCAGGCCCCACAGCATAGGCACATCAAAATTTTATTCTCTTTACCTGTTCTTTTTTCCCCCTCTGCATTAGAAGAAGGAAGTACTTTTGTCTTCAAGATTGGCTGTACCACCCCCTTTTGTGTAGTTCCCTTTATCTTCTCCCATTACTTACTGCCTGTGTGTCATGGCCACAGTGTCTCTCTCATGCTGTCTTTTCCCTGTCTGTGCCTTTGCACTGATGAGAAATTATGACCTCCATCACACAGTTCTTTTTAGTGTGTGGCGTGTTGTTTTTAGCCTTTCTTTTCCTTGTCTGCATCTGTTTTTTCTTCTATGTAATTTTAAGTTACGTGACACATAATGATGTTAAGTCCTGATGTTTTTCAGTTAATGTGTTTGCCACATGTTTTTGTTTAGGCTTTATATCAACAACTTTTATATTAATCTTTCTGCTGTGTAGATTGTATTTAATTGTAACTTTATGACATGTGCATAGTATAGTGTACTTTTTTCACTCCCCATATCCTAAGTATATTTTTGTATTTCATTAAATAATCTTCATAATAATTACTTATAATGGCTGTATGATATTCCATAAAAGTTGATATAACAATTTATTTAACCATTATCCTATGATTAGACACATTGTTTCCTACTTTTTTGCTTTCCTTAGTAATGTTATACCTTTTTCTTTCTTTCTCTTTTTTTTTTTTTTTTTTGAGACAGATTCTCACTTTGTCACCCTCAGTAGAGTTCTGTGGCATCACAGCTCACAGCGACTTCAAACTCTTGGGCTCAAGCAATTCTCTTGCCTCAGCCTCCTGAGTAGCTGGGACTACAGGCACCCACCACAACGCCCAGATATTTTTAGAGATGCTTAGAGCCAGCTTTGGCTCAGGCTGGTCTCGAACTTCTGAGCTGAGGCAGGTCTTGAACTCATGAGATCAGGCAATCCATCCACCTTGGCCTCCCAGAGTGCTAGGATTATAGGCATGAGCCACTGCACCCAGCTTTATACCTTTTTCTGTATTTGAGAATACCTTCTTGAGATGGCTAACCAGAAGAATTATAGAAATACCCCTTTATTCTTGGTTTCACTTTCCATAGTTTTAGTTACCTAAAGTCAGCTGTTGTCCAAAAACAAGATTATTTTGAGAGGACAAGAAAAAGACCACATTCACACAACTTTTATTACAATATACTGTTATAGTTGTCCTATTTTAAATTAGTTATTGTTACTAATCTCTTGCTATGCCTAATGATAAAGTTTGATTTATCTATAAGAAAAGATAGAGTATATGTATGAGCTTGGTACTATTCCTGGTTTTAGGCTTCCACCGTGGGTCTCAGAAGGTATCCCCCTTGGATAAGGAGGGACTGTTATACACTGGTCAAAAGGTGCCAGTTTTTTAACTGTTAATACAACTCTTAATACATATTTAACTCTTAATACAAAAGCTTATACTCATTTATGCTATCTTTAGAAATATATGAAAAGGCAAATATCATCCCAACTTTGGGTACTTCTCCCTACCTCTCCCCCCACAATTTCTGTTATTTTCACAGATAAAAACTGCTCACTACCTATTTATTATAATAATTTCTATTCTATGGGCATATTTTCCATATATTTGCTTAATATTTTTTGTTCCCTCTCATCCATATTTTTTTGCTTATCTTTTGCAAACATTTTTACCAATCTGCTTTTTAGTTTTTATCTGGTGACATGTATTAGTTTTAAATTATACAACCTGTCCATCTTTCTAATTATGATTCCTCTTCTAACCTTAGAAAGTTAGTAATTTAATATTAATCTAATAGTAATTAAATAATTTGATACTAGTAACTTAATATTTTCTTCTACCTTTTTTGATGTCTTTGAAAATTATTTTGAACTCTTTTATGAACTGGAAGTCTCTTTAGATATTATATGAAATACCCAAATTTATTTCTCCACCAAATTATTGTTCTCAGTTTACTGAATGAGTCTTCTTTTTTCCCCATATGGGATCTCCTCCTTTAGTACATCTTCTCTCCCACTGACTTCTTATGCCAGCACCAAAGCTTTAAAAAATGTCACATTATAATCAGTGATTCCCAACTAGGGGTGCCACCCAGGGAACATTTAGCAATGTCTGAAGGTATTTTTTATTGATATAATTGGGATAGTGCTGCAGGCTTCTAGTGGGTAGAGAACAGTGTCATTGCTAACACCCTTTAATGCATAGGGGCACCCCACACACAATAAAGTATCTGGTCTGAAAGTGTTGAGGCAGAGAAACTCTGCTTTGTAGTGTTTTCACAGATGATAAAGTTGGTTCCTTAATGTTTCTTCCATATTTTTTTCTTTTTTTTTTGGTCTTGAACACCTGGACGCAAGTGGTCCTCCTGTCTCAGCCTCCCATGTAGCTGGGATTATAGGTGTGAGCCACTGTGCCCAGCAAGTTTCTTCAGTATTTTCTTTGCCAATTTTGTCTGTTTATTTTTCCAAATGAACTCTATAAGTTGGGGACCCCAAATACAATTGGAAAAATTAATTTAGAAAGAAAGTATATGATATTTAGCATTTCCCCTTAATTTTTCCTGAGTGTTTTTGGTTTAAATAGTATTCATTCAGTTCCCCTTAATTCCAGTATTTTTCAGTTTCCTCGGCTTTTCTAAATATTATTTATTTATATATTTTATTTTATTTATATTTATTTATTTATATATTTATTATATATATTTTTATATATCACATTTACTGTGGGAGAGTTTTCTAAATATTTAATCATGTCTACAAATAATGATATAGTATCTGTTCCTTTGACCCTACTTCTCTGTTACACTTTGGAAAGTTAATAACTAATTCTATAAACTAAACTTTAAAAATAATGGTAAAAGTAAGAAGCTTATTCCCCCCGTTTGACACTTCAGGATCATTAAGTGGGTCTGTATTAAGCTCAGTTTAAGCAGGGATAGGAATTACTTTTTCTGCTTGCTTTATTTGATGCTTTTTAAAATCATTGTTAAGAAAGTATCTTTCTTGCTACAGAACTGTTTCATGTCATTATTTAACCAAAAAAAAAAAACAAAAAAAACGAGCATTCAATTGTATCACAACGATGGCCTTTTAAATACCCCATTTACAATATAGCTTTCCCATTTTTGTTTTTATGTATTTGTTTTACTTTGCTTTTTCCTTCAAAAAGACAAGATCTTAAACTAATTATTTTCTGATGTTATGGAATTTTTGGTTATATATTACTTTTTAATCATTATTAGCTTCTAATTTTCCTGAGAACTTCCTCTAAAAAAATTCTTAATAAAATATTGAGTTTATTTATTTTCTCTTTCTGGTAAAATGTTAAAGCCTATGTACTTGCTGTTAAGTGTGGTAACTATGATACCAATTCATATAAGGGGCTGGAAGGATCAGGACCAGTCTGATGTTCATTTCATTCACTCTGTTGACACGTATTCCTTGGGTACCTACTAAACCCTGGGATTGTGTCAGGTGCTTAAAAAAATGAAAAATACAGTCACTGTGCTCACTTGGCTTATATATTCATTCATAAATAGAAAGAGGGAGTCTCCAGAGACTATAAAAATTCATGGAATGCGGGCAGCACCTGTAGCTCAAAGGAGTAGGGCACCAGCCCCACATGCCGGAGGTGGTGGGTTCAAACCCAGCCTTGGCCAAAAAAAAAACCAGAAAAAAAAAAATTCAAGGAACGTAAACAATCAACCTATTTTACAGCCATTTGTTTGTAAGGCCCCTGACTACCTCTCTGGCTAAAACTGGCCCCTGACTGACAGCCTATAGATAAACTCAAGTAAACGTTCCTCACTACCATGCTAACATCTCCACCCTGGGAAGTGGCATAGCTTCATTACCGTAACATGCAGACTGTGTGCTGACACTACAAACTAACCCCACATGCACAGCAGGAACCCTCTCCTACACATGATGACACATCTTTTTCTTTCTCTGCTGCCCCACAAAAACCTATGCCACTTTCCCAAGAGGAGATGCTACTTTACAAAAATAGCACTGGTATTCTCCTTCCTTACTACAAATAATTAAAAACTCCTACTGGCTTGGCACCAGTAGGTCAGTGGTTAGAGCTCTGGCCACATACCCCAGGGCAGGCAGGGTTGAACCCGGCCCAGGCTTGCTAAACAACAACAGTGACAACAACAACATAACCATGCATTGTGGCAGGTGACTATAGTCTCAGCTACTTGAGAGGCTGAGGCAAGAGAATCCCTTAAGCCCAAGAGTTTGAGGTTGCTGTGAGCTGTGACGCTACAGCACTTTACCGAGGGCGACATAGTGCCCCCCTGGTAAAGGCACTCACTACGTAGGAGTAATAAATACTCCTACTGATCAAGACCCACATTCTTGTAAAGGATCACTTACTACTTGCCAGGCAAACAAACCCCAATCCTTTGGATAACAAAACCTCAGTGCTCATTCAGTGAACTATTTGGCCCCTGCTAGCCCATCACCCTAACTGGTAGGTATTTATTCATACAAACTTAATTCTCTGAAGTACTCTCTCAGATCTTTATAAACTTGACTGATCTTCATAACATTCTTAAATGAGGAAAAGAAGTTTCAGACCTTTATTTTTAAGGTATGATTTCAATAAGGTGTTTTAAGCTGAGCTGGGTGATTTAGTGAATGAATACAAACGTGTAGGTAGTTTGATAGGTACACAGGCAGCCCGCCTGCCAGCCTTCCTACCCTTTCTCTTCATCTTTCTGGTTATTGAGCCCCTATTCTTAAGACAGTTTATCTACAACTATTCCTGGTCAGTTCTGCTCTCAGCAGATCTTTGCTGTAGTCGGGCAGCCTTTTGTGATTCTGACCCAGTGGATGGAACCAGATGCTACTGCTGCATCTGAATTCCATCTTGTCTGTGTAGTAGTTTTCAGATGCTCCTTCCAGATTCTTAATTCTGGGTTCTGTTTTTCAAACCCCTCTGGGGGAGCGTCAGGGTCAAGAATAGTAATAGGCACTTCTATTTCCTCTGTCATTTCACCAGAACAAGTCTTTTGCTAGCATTGCCACCAATAAAAATAGGGCAGTTTCTCTTTTCAAACCTATGCCAGTCTTCTATTCTATATACTAATTTTTGTTCATGCACTAAACTGTTCCACTTATTTCTTCTTAGGTAAAAGGATATACCTATATACCTTAACCAAATTTGTCATTTGTGCACAAACTATAGCATTGGGTTTGCTCTTTTACACAGCTCAGATCTTATGTCTTTTTTTTTTTCTTTTTTTTGGTAATTTGCTTTGTGTCCCCTCAGGCTTTCCAGCTATTTTAGACTCTCACACCCTGGTCTATTCTATTCTTTAAATGTCTCCCTTCTATTTTGAAATGTGTTCCTTCCTTCATTCAAAAGCATTTGTTGAAGGCCGCTATGTGTCCTGCCAAGGGCCAGGTGCTGAAAATAGGCAGACTAGTTCCATAGTTTCTGCTCCCTTGAAAGAGCAGAAAAGTAAATCTCAGTACTGTGTAGTAAGTAGTAATGTATAAAACTGAATTGTACAAAGTGCTATGGAAACCTGGAACCAAGCAGCCACTCTGTCCTGGGAAGGTTGGGAAAGGCATCAGCAAAGAGGTGAAACTAATGTCATAATCTCTGCTTTCCCTTTCCTTTAGAACAACCGTCTCCAGAATTTACGCTTTTCTACTATATAATATTCAGGTCTAAATTTATATATACATATTTATAGTACATTTTTATTCAAATTATATATAAAGTATGCTCAAATTTTTTTTAACTGACAATAGTATAGGATCAACAAAGTTTGGACATCACTGCTATACTCATTTGTTCTTTTAACTAGCTATAATTAGGCGTGAAATAATTTCCAAATTTTATCCTGAATTGTCCCAAAGTGATACATTCAAGTGTGCCTAAATACCTGTTACATCCCATCCACTTGCCATTCCCCCTGTATTCCAGTTGTCAGTCATTACACCACAACCACCACCCCAGTTACCCAAGCACACTGCCCCCATCTCCTCCCCAAACCAGTTAATCAGTACTTTGGAAGTCTACCTCTTAAATATTGATCCTCTCCTCTCTCCCCATAGACTCTAGAGCAGCTCTCATCATCTCATCAGGACCACTGTTAATCTACTCACTGTTCTTCCTGTTTGTGATCTTAACTCCTAACCCATTTGGCTTCACAGAATAATCCTTTTAGAATGCAAAGATGCTTGTAATTTCTTAATTACCCCTGGATAAAAGTTAAGCTCCTTGACCCAGGCCAAATGGTCATTACCCAGCTCACACAAACTCTTCTATAGGTGGGCCATAAGTTTATGACTAATATGGAAAGTGGATTTTAGCAGTCATGCACATGGTCTTATTGACATGTTTGTCAAACTGAGCATGAGCTAAGTGGATCATGCGACTCAGGTGGAGGAGAGTATGATTGGCTGAAAGTAAAAGAGCCAAATGACAAATGTAGAAAATAAAAGCATCTGTGTTTACTGAGCATACAGTAACTTTGTCTTATGAATGTTATCATCCAGAGCAGCCTAGGTGCTAAAAAATAGCCAAGTAATTAATGCACTGAATATCTGGATGCCTTTTAAAACCAAACGAGCATTGATGTCAGTCAAATTCCAGTATTGCTAATTTGTTCTATATTGATTTGAGTCATTTAATCTTTTCAAGAATGTAGCCAAAAATTCTAGTTTAAAAGTACATCTTTATCACAAAAGCCTTGAGAGCTGCTTATCTAGCCCTTGCCTCTGTCTACCCTCAAATATTGCCACTCTTCCTCTATCCCACACACCAAACCTCTATGATACAGCCAGGCCAAACAACATATTCTCTCTAAGCCTCATCACAAATCAGTGACTTTAAACACATGGTTGCTTTTCTTAGAATGCCCTTCTATCTTATTCTTTTCCTTAAACTTCTCATTTTTTTCAGGCTTACTGTAAGTGTCTCCTTATCTCTGATACTTTTTCTAATCCTACCACATCAAGACAAAGTTAGGAACACTGCATCTTACACACTACCACTAAAGCACCTCCTGATTATATAGCACTTACCAAATCATCCACAATGCAAAGCTCTGGACTCCTTGAGGGCTTTTTCATCTTTGTATCTGCAGTACCTCATACAGTACAGCAGAGACTCCATACAAGTGTATTGAATGAATAATCAATCTCTCTCTCTCTCCCCACCCCGGCCCCCAGAGAATCAGTGTCAGTACTTTGGGAGGAAAGGCAGAGCATAAGAATATAGGGCAAGACTCAATAGCAGCATCATCACAACCACAGCAAATTAATACTTTTGTCAGTCCCAATTCTAAGCCTCTATGTAAATTCACTCATTTATTTCTCACAGCAGCAACCCTCCTACCCTTCTACCCTCATTTCACAAATGAGAAAACTAAAGCACAGAGAGACTCAGCAATTTGCATAAGATCACACAAGTAGAATGCCTCAGAGCTGACTAGACCCGAAAGGGGCTCCAGTGCTTCCGGCATTATGGGGCTGTGTGAAGGACTAACGCATCTGCGATTTTGCTGCCTCTCCTCCTCCTATGCACAAATTGTAGTTATGGGGACACAGGAACTCAGTTACCAGTTGCCACTAAGTCTTAGACTAGATGAAGATTAGAATATACATATATAAAGTCCTGTGTGTGATAAGTCAGCAAATCCCACATTTCCACCAAGTATCTTAAACACTACCATCTCTGAATTGCAAATTGTAACAACCTGTAGTTACAAATGTGATCCTTTGAATTTAGCATTTTCCCCATTTTGCCAAAAATATGTATCATTAGTGATGGAGTTATTCTTAAAGTTCTTTTAACAAAATTGTGATTTATGTCCAGTAACATAATGGTTTATTAAACTTGGTCTCCCTTTGTCTTATCTATAAAATTTAATAAGCCTCTCACAGAAGAATTTGATACTTAACAAAAATCTTTCTGTTGACATTTACTTAGCTTGTTGTTTTTCACAGCATAGAAATCTGAGCCTTGATTCATTAGCTATGGTGGTTAAAATGATATAGTCATATGACCACAATTAATAAAAAAGAAAAAACTTGCTTTTTGCCTTCCTTATCCTTGAAATAATTTCATTATTATCTTCTAGGAATTTATCTCACTAATATCTTGAAAACAGAAGAAGGCAACCCTGAGGTCCTAAAAAGACATGGAAAAGAGCTTATAAACTTTAGCAAAAGGAGGAAAGTAGCAGAAATAACTGGAGAGATTCAGCAGTACCAAAATCAGCCTTATTGTTTACGAGTAGAATTAGACATCAAAGTAAGTTGAATTAAAGATAGATATTTCTGATTGAGAATATAAACCTGATAAAAGGCAAGTTTGTTTCATAGGGAAGAAAAAGGAAAATAAAATAATAATTCAAATTTTCTTATGTTAAATGTTTTCTTATTTTCATGAATTTCAAACTAAATTTATAATATTTGATATTAACAGTTATTTCTTTGAATTTATTTTAGCGGTTTTTTGAAAACTTGAATCCAATGGGAAGTAGCATGGAAAAAGAATTTACAGATTATCTTTTCAACAAATCCCTAGAAATAGAACCACGAAACCCCAAGCCTCTCCCAAGATTTGTAAGCATTCACGTATTTATATTTCTTTTATACTCGTATTTCTTGCACTTGTCATCTATGTCTGGTGACATCACTACCATATGTGTTGCATAATTTTCTATAAAGGCATCTGGAGATGGAGTGCACATGTGATGGTTAAAAAAACGCTGAAGGCTCGGTGCCTATAGCTCAACTGGCTAAGGCGCCAGCCACGTACACCTAAGGTGGCGGGTTCGAATCCCCAGCCCGGACGCGCCAAACAACAATGACGGCTGCAACCAAAAAATAGCTGGGCGTTGTGGCGGGCGCCTGTGGTCCCAGCTACTTGGGAGGCGGAGGCAGGAGACTCGCTTGAGCCCAGGAGTTGGAGGTTGCTGTGAGCTGTAATGCCACGGCACTCTACCCAGGGGGACAGCTTGAGGCTCTGTCTCAAAAAATAAAAAATAAATAAATAAATAAACGCTGAATAAATATACCCAGGAGTATCCTACCCCTTCTAAATAAATGAACATTAATATTAACTAGAATAAATCCTGATATGATAGATGATAAAATCTAGCAAATATATAAATTTTTTATTGTTTTTGGTTTTACCCCCCAAAATGTTATTAATGATTTAAGAACAGGGAATTCAATAAATTATGCTAATTCACTTATAATAAATATATTTACTTACAACTTTTTAAAAGTAATCCTTATTATAATTTTTTAACCATTAACCATAAAAACATTAAGTTTGGCTAACAATACTTTCCTGGAGAAAATAAAATTTGCATTGTTTTTTATTACTTGACAGTGCCTGGCCAGATTTATATAAGTATCATCACCTTACTGATCTAATCTGTTCTCTCTCTTTTTTTTTTTTTTTTGAGACAGACTTTCACTTATTTACCCTCAGTAGAGTGCTGTGGCATCACAGCTCACAGCAACCTCCAACTCCTTGGGCTTAGGCGATTCTCCTGCCTCAGCCTCCCCCAGTAGCTGGGACTACTTGGCACCTGCTACAACGCCCAGCTATTTTTTTGTTGCAGTTTGGCTGGGGCTGGGTTTGAACCCACCACCCTCAGTATATGGGGCCAGTGCCCTACCCACTGAACCACAGGCACTGCCCTACTCCATTCTCTGTTATTCATAAGAAAGTCAAGTATCAGGAAGTAAACATAAATGGCTTCTAAGTGACCAAGATAAATCTCATAATGTCTATGACCTGAGTAAGGCATATGCAGTTGCCTCACAGGACAATTTCTCAAGCCCTAAAAATAGTTTTTAAGAAAATATATTAAAAACTGCAAATTGGAAAGAAGTATACAGTCTGCTCAGACAAGGCACACTGCTATCTCTAAGAAATGATCATCCTGCAAGGAAAATGCCACAAAACGAACATACACAAGTGAAAGCTCAGGCAATTTCATGCATTTGTAAATAACTCAAACGGTCCTAATAGCACCACTGTATTACCAGCATAGTAAGATATTGTAATTCATAATGATGATTTTGGCTTTTCCAGCAAGGTTTAAATTTGCTCAAAATAGTCTGGGTTGTTGTTTTGTTTTGTTTTTTTTTTTTTTTTCCTAGTCCCATGTTCATTGATAAAATAGTCTGCTTTAAAAGCCGGGAAGATCTACATTTTATATTTTCACCCCAAAATATTAAAAAAAAAATATTCTGGTATTTGTGAGACAAAAACTCAGTTATTTAAAGAAATTCATTCCCTAACAATTTAGATAGCCAAGGTTTTATTTAGCAAGATAGAATATTAATGCTTTAATTTGGATTGGACACTTTGAGTCATTATGTAACTTCCTTATTAAATGATCTATGATTTTCCTAGTTGTTTGTTGAATTTTACCAGGTACATATAGAACAACTTTGCTTTCTACTATAGTGTTTTAAATAACGTATCTCTTTTGATATGTCTACAGCCAAAAAAATATAGCTATCCCCTAAAATCTCCTGGTGTTCGTCCATCAAACCCAAGACCAGGTACCATGAGGCATCCCACACCTCTGCAGCAGGAGCCAAGGAAAATTAGTTATAGTAGGATCCCTGAAAGTGAAACAGAAAGTACAGCATCTGCACCAAATTCTCCAAGAACACCGTTAACACCTCCTCCTGCTTCTGGTGCTTCCAGTACCACAGATGTTTGCAGCGTGTTTGATTCTGATCATTCGAGCCCTTTTCATTCAAGTAGGTGCTAACATTTTCAATGCATTAAGGTACTTGTTAGTACTGTACATACTAGAGGTAAAAAAAGAATCTGTTCTTGTGTGTGTGGACTTATAGACAAGTGCATTTCAAAAGATGTTGACAGATTCTAAACTTCAGCAACCTTCAATTTTTTAAAAATATGCTGCAACTGCCTTCTTTAAATTTATTATACTTTACTGAAAGGCCTCATTGTAAAATTGCTAATTTACACTTTATTTGAGCATTTCAGATGTATCCCTCATATCCAGAGGAAACTGAGATCATTTAAAATCTGCAAAGAATGTCAGTCCTGTGTGTCAAATGCTGCCTCCAAAAGTATTACATAGTGTCCCTGATTCAAAAATCTGAAATCCAAAATGCTCCAAAATCTGAAACTTCTTGGGTGTCAATGTGCCACTCAAAGGATATGCTCATGGGAGGATTTTTGATTTTTTGGATTAGGAATGCTAAGCCTGTAAGTACACATACAATTTAATATTCCAAAATTCAACACAGTTCTGGTCCCAAGCATTTCAGATAAAGGATATTCAACCTGTATTTGCATACAACTCAGGGTACACCACCATCCAGTCCCTACCAAATTCTGCAGTAGCTTTTCATTTTGTGGTGCATCAGATTCAAACTCCTACTTAATCCTTTCTTAGTCTACCCCGTGGTACTCTGATGGTTTATAGTGCCTGGTAGTACACTGCCTATGCTTTTCAGTACAGTCTTACAATCATACAGACTGTATACTGTTGCTTATCCCTTTCTTATTTCTATTTATTTGTATTGAGACAGAGTCTCACTGTATTGCCCTGGGTAGAGTGCTGTAGCATCATCACAGCTTACAGCAACCTCAAACTCAGCAACCTCAAAAGATCCTCTTGCCTCAGCCTCCCAAGTAGCTGGGACTACAGGTGACTGCCACAACACCTGGCTAGGTCCTCTTTTATTTCCAGACTAGCACTGCCTTATAGAAATACAATGTGAACCACATATACAATTTAATTACCTAGTAGTAACATTAAAAAAAGAAAAATAATTTTAACTAGAGATTTTATTTAACCCAGTGTATAAAAAATAATTCTTCAACATGAAATCAATATAAAATTTATTATGGAGATACTTTACATTCTCTTTGTTCTAAATCTTTAAAATCCCATGTGCATTTTATACTTATAACATATCTCAATTTGGACAAGTCACAGTCAAATAATTATGTGTGGCTGCCAAAACATATGGTTCTCAGTTCTACCTTTGAAGAGGCTGCCTTTTAAATCTAGATCACAAATAATTTTCTAATTAATTTCATGTGGTGCTTTAAAGCTCTTCTAAGAATATACAACCTTTTTTCAGTTGTTCATTGTGAAATTAAAACTTGAATTGAGTCACTTGTAACCCTTTCATAGCCATGTCCACAGGCTCTTTCCATGGGCTATCTTAGTTTGGTGTGCTGGTCAACTTTCACCCTAGCACGTGACATAACAGAATCCAGTACTGGAGACAGCATGACCTTATTACAGGAGGGACTGGAAGGATTCACTAGGAGTTAGAAATCCTAGTTTGTCATTCCAATCTGCCAGTAAGCTTTCTGATTTTAGATAAAATATTTCTTCTGTACTTTTGTGGGGTCAAATTAGATTAAGATTCTCTCAGCTGGAAGAAACCTAACTAAAAATCTACTTAAAATAATTCTTTGGAGGTATATTACTTTGACATTTGGTCTAGAATCCTATTTGTTTATTCCTGTAGTATATATGTACCAACATGGATTTGTTAGACCAGCATTCTGTCTTGTCTTTGTATCACCTAAAATGAATTTGTCTTGAGAATACATACTATCAATACAATGTGCCTTTATTTGGTGACTAGGGATCATGGAGTCATAGATTTTTGATAAGTTAAAGCAGACAACCAAGTTAAAATACTCCTATTCATTCTCTCCAACTTGCCAACTCCCTAAATGAAGTAATAAAATGAAACCAGCACTTTTTTAGTATATCTGACCTAAAGGCATTATTTGTTCTGACCTATATAACTGTTTGCAGGATTTTTCTTCCCTAGAGCAGACAGCTGTGTATCTGTATCAGTGTTTTTCAACCTTTCTTTATCTCACAGCACACTCAAGCCTATAGTTAAACTCTTGCAACACTCTTAAATTATGTTAATCAAAAAAAAGGTAAAAAATTAAAAAAAGAATATACTTACTGTGCTTTGAACTTCTTTCAAAAATTTAATTAATGATCTTTAAAAATGTTTGTGGCATGCCTAAGATCCTCTCTCAGCACATTAGTATGCTATGGTGCACCAGTTGAAAATCATGGGTCTATATTATAGGGATTCTCAAATATGTGAATTATAGAAACCACATGAAAGCCATTCATTTCAAATTCTACTTCTCTTAGTTTAAGTAGCTAAAAATGGAAAAGCAAAAACAAATAAGTATATTAAGTTCTCTACTTATGTTGAATCTTTGAACAGTTAATAAAACAGGGGAGAATGAATCATAATGAAATGCACTGCTTTGCTGTATGTGGCAGTGGGACAATATTAACAAACAGCTAGGGGGCCAGGTGAGGTGGCTCACACCTGAAATCCTAGCACTCTAGGAGGCTGAGGTCGGTAGACTGCTTGGGCTCAGGAGTTTGAGACCAGCCTGAACAAGAGGGAGACCCCTTTTTCTAAAAAATAGCCAGACAGACACTGTGGCAGGCGCCTGTAGTCCCAGCTACTTTGGAAGGCTAAGGCAAGAGGATCACTTGAGCCCAAGAGTTTGAGGTTGCTGTGAGTGAGACCCTATCTAAAAACAAAAACAAAAAAACAGGCAAGTGGAAAAACATTGTTTCAGGAGTTAGGTTTTATAATCTTAAGACTTTAGGGTTCTCTCAATTTCTCTTCATAATAAAGCAACCCCATATTACTATACTACTCCCTTTGCTATTAGTAAAAACCTGAAAATAACTGTTGTTGAATTCAAGTACACTAGCATAATAGATATAAAACCATCCATGTGCTAAGTTCATCCCTTACTTGAAACTTATCAGTAGCCTATGTGTATTAAAGGTCCTCTTTTTGAGTCCACCTCTGCCTGACAGATCTGCTAGTGCTGTGGGGATCACCTGAGCCTCTAACTTGCTACCCGCTGTTTTGCTGCCAGAGAGGGAAACCTACTTCCTGTTTCCCTCAGGGCCTGGCAGGAAGGCTGAAGTCTTATATTTTCAGAACACACCCTGCTCAATACAAAGCAGCAGAAAGCTACATTTTTTCAAAAGACAAAGTTTGATTACAATTTTTTAATCAGTTATTTTGCTATTTTTTTTTACTCTTAAAATTTTTTCCCCAATCTACTTTTAACCTATAATTCTTTCAGCCAATATCTGTTGAATATCTTACTCCTTGCTGAGCATTTACACATCTCCTCTAGGAAAGCCTGCAGTCTTACTAAGAGATTAAAAATAATCATAGAACACAGAGAATCATAGTTAAATGCTAAATGAGCAGTGAAGACATAAATGCTGTAGCAGTTTACAGAAAGATGACCTCTGAATGGGCAAGAATAGTCATGGAAAGCTTTGTGGTAAAGACAGGGCAGGAAGGGAACTGACCACCTATTTAGTGTTGCCACGTACATCCTCACATTCAAAGCCCTGCTCCACACCTTACCCTGGCTGGGTCCACCAGTGAGGTAAAATGACAGTGTCTAAGAAGAGAGAAAAGACCACCTGGCTCACTGCTTTGTTGCTGGTATTAACACAGAGAGGGGAAAATGAACAAATGCTCGTTACTTTCCTGTTCGAGAATTGCCTGGTCATGAAAAGGGAGACCAGAGCTCTGACCTGGTCCGTGTGCTGGTGATAAATTTTATCTCCATTCCTTAGTAGAGGAAGTTTTAACAAGAAAGTGATGTGTCACAAGCATTTCAAGCAAGAAGGTTTCATGGAAAATTACTTTAAGGGATAAGTTTCTAATCTCAAATACATTTGCATTTTGCCTTTGCGAGTTTTAAGAAGTTATCCATCATTTATGTCATTTATGCCATTTTTTTTCTATAGGAAAATGCTTGTTTCCATTTTAAGAATGCTTCCTCTATAAACTCAGGACTGTCTCCAACAGTGATTTCAGCTCTAACTGTATTGTATAATCCCTTGGGTAGGCAGAAATAATTACCTAGGCCCAGCACACACTAGACTACAATTGGCACCTGGGAATCAGAATTTTTAAAAATTCCCCCGGGAGGATTCTGATCTTAGCCAAGATTTAGAATAACTAGTCCATAATCCCAAGATTTTTACATAATAAATTAATATTACTTTTTTATTTTATTTTTCTTTCTGAGACAGAGTCTCACTTTGTCACCCTTGGTAGAATGCCATGGCATCAGAGCTCACAGCAACCTCAAACTTGTGGGCTCAAGCGATCCTCTTGCCTTAGCCTCTCAAGTAGCTAGGATACAGGTACTCACCACAGGGTCCGGCTATTTTTAGAGAAGGGGTCTCACTCTTGTTCAGGCTGGTCTTGAACTCCTGAGCTCAAGCAGTACACCTGCCTCGGCCTCTCAGAGTGCTGGGATTACAGGCATGAACCACTGTGCCCGGCCCAATATTAATTTTTTAATTAATTAGATTTCATTCCTAAGTCATCATCCATAAATTTGTTGAGTACTTAGCTGTTAAGAATTTCTAGCATATATTTCTTGATTAGAGCATATAACATTCTAAAATAATTTTTATAGCATTTTCCAGGCAATCAGACTAGGCAATTAATATAAAATAAGAAATCAGAGAAAAGCTGCAATTTTACCAAATAAGTGAATCTAAGCCTGCACTACATATATAAACATGATCAAATCCAGGTTTACATCTGTGTACGTATGTATGCATATATATAATTCTTTCATAAGACTTCAGTTGTAACAGTCATGAGCTTCATGCTTTTATTTTGGTCCTGTATTGCATTAAGTGTGCTGTCATGTTCTTGAGGGTTATCTCCAATAGATAGATTTATTTCCTTTTCAAGAAAAGCAGGAAATATATAAGCAGGTAAATAATAGAGCTAGATATAGCCTTAATCCCTGTTATATCATTAGCTGCCTAACAGTGAAGAAAATCATTAACAAAGCAAGAGTTTCCTGTAATTTCATAGTATAAAAATGAATTTTAATCCTTGGAGAGGTAATTTATTAGAATTAGCTGGAATGCTACACTTAGTAATCATGGGTTCCAAATGAATACTACTAGCACCTAGGAAAAGGAGATAATGGGCTGGGCACCTATGGCTCAAGCAGCTAAGGCGCCAGACACATACACCAGAGCTGGTGAGTTTGAATCCAGCCCAGCCCGCCAAAAAACAATTGCAACTGCAACCAAAAAACAGCTGGGTGTTGTAGCACGTGCCTGGCGTCCCAGCTACTTGGGAGGCTGAGGCAAGAGAATTGCTTAAGCCCAGGAGTTTGAAGTTGCTGTGAGCTATGATGCCATGGCACTCTATCCAAGGGGACAGCTTGAGGCTCTGTCTCAAAAAAAAAAAAAAGGAGATAATGGGACAGATTATTTGAAATTGGGGCTCCCAGGGAAATAAAAACTCTATACAAGCAATCTAGTTAATAAAAGTCATGCTAGCTGAACTTGAAATGTAAAGTTATCCTCCTGACCAAATAAACCTGAATAAACAAATGTTCCAAATGAGTTTTGCCTATTGTGCATAAAACAAAAGAAGAAATCTGAATTTAAATCAGCTCAATCTAGTATTTATAGAAATTAATTTAGTTTCTTGATTTTTATCTGTTCCATATATGTTAACACAAGATCATGTAACTATAAACAATTATATTGATTTATAACTAGGATAGATCATCCAGCCTTTTGTCGTACTTTTCCTACTTTAATGCTCTTGCGGCTCTGGCTTTTGATTTTCATTTTTTTTCTGTTTTTCGACATAGGCTCTTATTCTGTCACCCTAGGTGGAGTACTATGGTGTCATAGCTCACAGCAGCCTCAAACTCTTGGGCATGAGCAGTCCTCTTGCCTCAGCCTCCCCAGTAGCATAGACTATAGGTGTGTACCACGACACCTGGCTAGGTTTCTATTTTCTATTTTTAGTAGAGATTTTTCTATTTTTACTCTTGCTCAGGCTGGTCTCAAATTCCTGAGCTCAAGCAGTTGACTTATCCTGGCCTCCCAGAGTGCTGGGATTGTGGAATGAGGCCACCTCAGGCAGCCTCTTTTCTTTTTTTCTGATGCAGAGTCTCACTCTGTTGTTCAAGGTGCAGTACAGTTACATGAGCATAGTTCACTGACTAACTCCTGGGCTCAGATGATCTTCCCAGTTCAGCCGCCCCAGTAGTTGGAACTATAGTCGTGTGCTACCACACCCAACTAATTCTTTTGTTGTTGTTGTTGTTGTTGTTTTATGTTGCCCAGGCTAGTCTCACATTCCTGGGCTCCAGCAGTCCTCCCATCTGAGCCTCTCAATGTACTGGGAGTAGGGCAGCACCTGTGGCTCAAAGGAGTAGGGCACCAGGCCCATACACCTGGAGGTGGCAGATTCAAACCCTGCCCTGGCCAAAAAAAAAAAAAAAAATGTACTGGGAATATAGGTATGAGCCACTATACCCAGCCCCAATTTCTTTTTAAGGAATTAATATTGTTGAAATTAAACATTCTAAATTTATCAATGAGTTTCCCATATAAAATAAATCTTTACCAAATGTTTATTGACTTTTAAAAAAAGTGTTTAGGAATATAGTAGGAAAAAAAGCTATATCACTTTCAAGTGTTTTAATATCCAGAGCTCTTGTTATTTTGTGATGAGAATATATGCCCCAAGAACATTTTTGAAAGGTATAGTACAATATTAGTAAGAAAACTCTTATTTTTCAATTTATATAAAATAAATTTATTGTTTCACAAGTTTTGAGTTTTCAAAATCATTTTTCATAAATGACATATTTCTATACGGCCAGCTGAATTGTTTGAATTGAGTTTATACATTTTTAAAAGTTTTCCAGATAAGTATGATATTTTAGTTTTTTCATAAATGCTTTTCATTTAATTATAACATCAAATAGTAAATCTAAAAGAATCTTTCAAATTCCCAATATATTATTTTTTCTTCTCAAAAGTAAGTAGTAATGAAGTTTTACTACAAACTGTTACAGCCTTCTTTAAAACTAAAATGACAAGAGTAACATTTTCATCATAAATATAAATTTTCACAGATGAGTTGAATATATCAATGAAAGAAAAAAATCTACTCTTTCTTGTTTCCTTTCACAGGCAACGATACCGTCTTTATCCAGGTTACACTGCCCCATGGCCCAAGTTAGTATATTTGGTTTAAGACTCATAATTCTTGCTTTGGCTTTAAAAATCAAACCAAGTGTAACCTTTCCTGCTAAAATTGTTCTTGGGTCTGGCAGCATTGGTACCTTGCTTGCAACATTCTAGAAGTGAGGCCTTCACTTGTGCTATCTTTTGATCATAAATGATTTGCTTAAATTATATACTGTTAATGCTTTTTATAAAACCTTTATTCTCTTTTAAAAGAACATATTAAATAAGTGGCTTCCACATTTAACCATTTCTCTTTTCCAATTATAGAGTTCTAGATATATCATAATGCTCAACTTTGAAAAAAAAAAAAAAAGCAAGAGCATGCATGCGCATATGGGAATGCTGGCAGCTACGTGCAGTGTCTAAAGCACAAAATACACTTAGCCTGATGGCAGCGTAAAGTGTACACAAATAACTGCTTTCAACTTTAGAAGAAGTGCCTTGTAATTGTAACTATTTAAATTATAGCCTAAGTATTCATCACTAATAAAATAAATTTCCACTTTAGCTATTTGCATTTAATTTTACAATAAACTAACAATTCACTAAATTCCATTAATTTAATTATTTAACCTAATAGGTTAATATTTTTTGCTGTCCTTTCTTACAAGTGATTTCAAAATGTATACAATGGAAAATACTAGTTATAAGTTAAATTAATTGTATTTAGTCTCTTAAGGAAAAAAGGTGGGTGATCAAAATGTTGATCATTTGAAAATACATGTTTCAGCACACAAAGCACTCTTTTTAAGTTCGATATTCTTATTATCATTTAATTGATGAAACAGAAAGCCTTTCTAACAGGATAAAAAGAACCTGCTGAATATAATTTTGAATGATTCCTTTAAGTATTTTTCCATATCTTTTTTTATAGTGTTTATAAATTAGCTAACAACATACATAAGTTTTGTCTTCAAAGTGTCATTATTTACATCTACGTTATGTCCTTGTCATCATAGATGTCTATAAGATAGGTTCCAGTTAGGAGCATTACTTACCTTTTTTGTGCCAATTCACTAACTTGAATTGGGTTCACTAGATTGTAGTGTAATTTCTGTTTTCATTATCAAGGACTGCCTCAGCTCTTTTGAAAAGCTCTATCACTCTTAAAGTTTTTGGATTATCTGGATGAATCTGATTTTGCTTACAGGCAAAGGAGAGCCTACACCTAAGCAGAATGAGGAGTGCCCCTCCTCCAGACTCTCAGATTCCTTCCCTTGCATCCTTTGAGAGAATTGCTGGGAGACATTGGCAAGAGTGGTTAAGATCAGAAACGCTATTCCCAGGCACTATCTAGAGGGCAGGGAAACTCTGTACTAATAAAGTCAGAGAAAACAATTAGCCCATCACAAAAGCTTAAAAATTAAGCCAGAGATTTTTAATAGCTTGCTGTCTCTCCTAGACATCTGAGAATCAGACCCAAGTAAAAATACCAATAATAGATTAATATATGTAGTGGGAATGTTTTGTTCATGCAAAGTAATAGAATATTTTAGGCAGCTCTTTTCTAAAAATTCTGCTAAAGTTCTGCATGCTTATAGCAGTTTGCTTTAGTAAGTGAAATACTATTAAGTATTGGTTTATTGAACTGCTTAATACTTCTACACATTTCTTCTAATAAATACAAGCAGTTTCCAGCTAAGCCTTTTCAAGATTAATAAATGAAATGAAGTTCCTGTGAACTTTTTTAAAAAAATAAAATTTGACATCCTCCAGGATCTGCTTCAGTGTCATCCATTAGTTTAACCAAGGGCCCTGATGATGTGCCCATCCCCCCTCCTGTCCCTCCTCGAAGACGGCCAGAGTCTGCCCCAGCAGAGTCTTCGCCATCTAAGGTAAAGTAGAAAATCCTGTTTCTCGAAATTGGAATCATTACAGTTACACTATCAAAAACTGCTTATGTCTAATTTAGTTCTCACTGGGATAGGGTAACATTTTGGAGTATTTTGGCTTAATAGTTTAAATAAGAATTAGATACGGATTTAGCATGTAGTAATGCAATAATGCTTTTCTTTTGAAGGTAGTTTTTGGTATGTCTTTAGAACCCTATAAACCTAAAGCTGTGGGTATTGTCAGGGTAAAAAAAAAACAAGTTTTAGTCTTAAGCAATTCTTTAAAAAACACAGAGGAGAGGGAAAAAAGAATGTTAAGAAATGAAGACACACTTTAATTTTATGAATTGTCAGAGCCTCCCATTAAAAACATGGTCAAAATCCCTGTTCACATCTAGCATCTGGCCTATATAGCATGTTTATACAACCCAACTTAAAACTCTTAATATATTATGGTACTACATAAATTATTAATAAATGTGTTTTCTATTCTTTTTCTCATTTGTTAGATCATGTCTAAGCATTTGGACAGCCCCCCAGCCATCCCTCCTAGGCACCCCACGTCAAAAGCCTATTCACCACGCTATTCAATATCAGACCGGACCTCTGTATCAGACCCACCTGAAAGCCCTCCCTTATTACCACCACGAGAACCTGTAAGGACACCTGATGTTTTCTCAAGCTCACCACTACATCTCCAACCTCCCCCTTTGGGCAAAAAAAGTGACCATGGCAATGCCTTCTTCCCAAACAGCCCTTCCCCCTTTACACCACCTCCTCCTCAAACACCTTCTCCTCATGGCACAAGAAGGCATCTGCCATCACCACCATTGACACAAGAAGTGGACCTTCATTCCATTGCTGGGCCACCTGTTCCTCCACGTCAAAGCACTTCTCAACATATCCCTAAACTCCCTCCAAAAACTTACAAACGGGAGCACACACACCCCTCCATGCACAGAGACGGACCACCACTGTTGGAGAATGCCCATTCTTCCTGAGTTTCTCTGTATTGGGATGTTTATTTTCCTAGCCCCAAATCCATTGCTGGCAATGGATGCACTGAACGTGCCAGCACTGAGGAGTTACAGTGAGAACTCCAAACACTAACGACTCTACTTCAAGATGCAGTATAGGACAATGAATTTTAACCTAGACATTATAAATTGACAATGGTATCCCAGTTTAGAACATGGAAGGACTGATCTAGAGGAATGGACAACTGGTTGCACCTGAAAATCAAGTAAAGGGACTTTTTCCAGCCAACAGGCAGGAGTTCTCTTTTTGTGAAGTGATCTTTATCATTAAAGGGATGGAAAACACAGTCTAGTGTCCAGCAGGCCCACATAATGACAGTTTTTGTAATTCAAAATATTATGCACTTTTAAAAAAAATCTTAAACAGGGATCTTAATGTCCTCCTTTGTTTTCCTTTGCTTTACTCTTCTACTTTAGAATATTTTCTTAAAAATCACTCAAAGGACTGTGAGGAAAGGCTGTGGTACCTGGCCTTGTTGAAATCAAGGCCCAGCACTGTACCACAGTCCTGTTTACAGATCATTACAGTGAACTGAGTGGGCACCGAGGCTTCACCAAAGAGGTACTTTGTTGTTGTTATTGTTGTTGTTTATTTTTAAGAATAATTATGCCAATTTTAAGAGCATTCCTCTACCTGCCCCCACACACCCAATCAAAATTTGGTGGTATTGCCTTCAAACAAGAGAAGTTTTGTGTCATTAAGATGACAGAAGAACTTTTTAAAAAATGTAACTGTCAAGTATACTATTTACATTTAGGAAACTGTTAATCTATGCTAGATTGTCATTTTCGCCCCTTCTCCCACAGAGGTTTACTGGTAGTCCATGTCATAGCTTGTAGCTGTCCCTCTAACCCATACTATGAAAATGCAGGCACCCAGTGTGAAAAGGAGCACTTGTGGGTATCACTGACACCATTCATGTTTTACTAATAGTTGAGTGATCAGCGTATCTAGAATTACCTTGCATTGCCTAAAATCACGTGTATATAGTGAATGTTATATAAATATACCTGGCAGGTCTGTTTAATTTAATCAAATAAAGATAACAAATACTTTGTTTGGCTGGCATATATTAAATTATTATATGGAGAAACTGGTTGATTCTTATTTCTTTCAGTTGAAAAACACAAAAACACTAAGCATAAAAAAAAACACATTGTGGTACGCCTTGGTTTCTAGTTCTGGGTGTATGTATTAATCTTAAAGAGTGATATAAAGTCACAGTTTCGCATGTAGGAAAACATTTGGTTAGAATAGGATGGGTATCGTAAGCAAAATTTTGTAAGTTTTTTAAGTTCCTAAGCAACGTGTATACAATTTGTTAAGATTTATACTGAACATTCTACCTTGCTTGAGGTCTTCTGCTCTATCAGAACTATTCATAATATAGCATCTGCCCCTATCATTACTATCATAAAATGGATTATTTATTAAGCCTGTGCACCACTCTTCTGAGTCTAACAAATACTGTGACTGAAATGCATGCACCTTGTTGAAGAGAAGAAGTTGTATTAATCTCCACTGTACTATCTGTGAAATATGCAGTATTCCATCTTTAGAGTCATTAGTTCATTAGTGTCTGCATGTGTCCTCTGAATAATGAAGTAAGAGTTCAGCGATTCTGTTACCCACACCATTAAAGACATTTTTAGAAGTGCTGCAACATGGTGGAAACCTAGTACTTTAATAATTTCTTGTGATATTTATTAGAGCATTAAGTGTATACCACGATAGTACAGTATATATAGTCCTTTAAGACCAGAAAGTATGTTAACTGCACCATCATTAAGCAGTCCATCCTATCCTTTCTTATTTGTTAAGAGTTGAATCTTTTTTGTTTAATATAAAATATGTACCGTTCCTATTGTGGTAGCCATCTTTCTCTTTATAACATTTCTCTTCTTTTAAAAAGTATTTTAAAAAATTAATTTCAAATCCCCTCTTGGATGCAAAGTGTCCATAAGACCATTCATTCATTCAACAAATATTTATATAATCCTACTTACTAGTGCTGCTACAACTAGTCATGATATACATTCCAGAATCTCCCATGACTTTTATTGGGCCAGCTTCATTGTCCCTAGGATTTCCCTTTTTATGGTTTATTGATTACTTCTCTTTTTAATTACCAACCCCTAGTCCAAATGGGGACTTTGAGAAAAGTCACCCTGGAGCCCAGTCAGTATCTCTCTGACTAGTGTGTTTAGTCTTCAATAAAGTGATAACCCCTATTCAACCTGCCCAATCCTATAACGAGGAAAAACTCAGATTTGGAGTACTAATTGTATTTCTCCAAAAGGGAACTGTTCTTCTATCCTGTGGTTCTAGAAGACCACTTCACTGTGCAACAGTTTTATATGCATTGTGGATAGAGGATATTTGTATTCTGAAGTGTGAAATTTGGTTAAAAACATTTTCTGCAGTGGTATGGTAACTAATTACAAAAATTCCAATTGGATGCCCTCAGGTGGAGGTAAGAAAACTCCTTGCCTTTTCAATCTATAACATTAGTTGACAAATTTATACTTTGTAGTAACTAAAATATATTTAGGGACAAGAAGTGGCAGAGAAAATAAATACATCATTACAACATTCTGCTTTTGAACTCAGGATGTTGCAAGGGAGTCAATGCACCACAATTTTTATTAACCATGTTCCAAAATGTGGAACGTTTTCTGTTAGAAATGGAAATGTTCCTAGATGTCTCGTTACCTTTGGATCACAAATGAAAATATTTCAAGGCTGAATGTATTTAGTGGGCTGATAATCAATATAAATAGAAAGGAGAGCTTTTCATATCTAAGGACTTTTAAAAACAAACAGATAAGAAATAAATTTCTAAATGTATTAAAAGATTGTGGCTATTTACTCTTCCCAGTCCTCCAAATGTATTTTAAGACTGCAGATTATCAGAAACTACACAAACATCAAAAGTTTGCTTAATTAAAAGTTTTGGGGCATCATATTATGTTTAGTAGATCACTACTCTCTTAACAACTCAAGGATGCTTTAATGGATCTATGTCTAGCAAAGAGCATGCCACAGCAGGACAATCAACGGAACAGTTTAATTAACAAGTACTTATGTTAATTGATGGCTATTTAATGGTTCTAAATTCTTCATTAATTTTTTTTCATAAATCAAAAATACCTTATATAAACAAAAAATTAGTTGGCATTTATTATCATGATCTTAATTCTCAAGTTCATCTTACTTTAAACTTGTATTTCACTGTTTGCCTTTTAATATGACAATTCAAAATTTTAAGTGGCTCAGCAAAATAAATGGGGGAGGGGTGTTGTACATATTGAGGAAAACTTTTGTTCTCCTTCAGATTTAGGAAGAAACAAAATTTAACCATTTATTTCTTGGTATTCTGCTGCTGTGGATAGGTTTACTACTCTTTTAACCTATACTGTGTGACTGTTTGTACAACTGGGGTCCTGTTTTATTGCACATTAATTAATCTTTACCAGTAAATAAACATCACAAGGTTAATATTGGTTTGGCTAAAAGAGAGAATTTAATGCAGTAAAATTTATAAGGGAATATGATGATTTCATTCAATGTATTTCTCTTTCAGATGTCTTACTAACTTATAAAATCATTTCATAACCCCTTATAAGTGAGCCAATAAAATACTTTGAGCTCTACTTCAGAAGCATGAAGTCAATATAATTCTAAACAGCAAAAGCACTTGTAACTTGTTTTGTAAATTTCATGCCTTATTTTTCATTTTTGACACCGTAAAGTGCATTTTCTGTCGACTGTGAGCAAATTTCCCTGTTGCCTTTAATGAAAATAGTGCATTAAGTAGCCAACTGCTGCAGAATTATAAAGCAAGTTAGCTAAAGGTGGGTCACATTGGACTACCACTCACACAAGATACATAATAGATGGAAGGTACATGTGGTGTGGCTTCGGGAGAGCGCACCTGTGCCAGATGCATGCCACTTTCAGTAGCTGCCAAATGTGCCTTTAATTAAGAACATCTCTAATTTTTTCCTTCAGATCAAGTCAGCATTTGGGGGCGGGATTAGGGCAGGGGACTTTGGGGTGCAAATATCTGGTGGAACCACCAGAGAATTTGTTTGTCAAAGTGACATGTATAATTTTAGTTGAGATGTGTTTGTGTATATATGTGTATTTGCCTTTGTTTAGTAGCACGGTTATTTGCTAAAATAATTGTCAAAAAATTGATCTGTCAGTCTTACTTTGATGTAAGAATAAAGTGTGGTCTATACATCTCTTATGGCCTTTGTACCTAACCATGTTCGTAGGTAATCTTTGTACTCTGTGTGCAGCAGTATTTGGTTTGCATTTAAAGTGAAAATAATGGCTGTTATTTTTCTGGCATTACTAAGATAAACCGAAAAAATAATAAAGAAAAATGCCTTACATAGCCCACAAGTGTATTATTTTGCATGTATTTATTTTAGAGGACACAATTTTTAAAGTCATTAGTGATTCTCATTTAGCTCATACTTGACATATAGAAATATTTTGCATTTTATCATGGTCATACTTTAGAGGCACTTTTTCTTATATCAAGTTATTATAAAAGGATAAAAAAAAAAACCTATTTCCTTCTGTGTTAAATCTTATGATTGTAGTGACTGTAGGAGGCCCTTAGGATGAAAATTAGTAATTTAAAATGATCTTGGGGCTGAGTGCAGTGGCTCATGCCTATCATCCCAGCATTCAGGGAGGCCGAGGCAGGTGGATTGCCTCAGCTCACGGGTGTTGTAGTGGGTGCCTGTAGTCCCAGTTACTCGAGAGGTTGAGGCAAGAAGATCACTTAAGCCCATGAATTTGCGGTTGCTGTGAGTTGTGATGTCATAGCACTCTACAAAGGGTGACAGTGAGACTCTGTCTCCAAAAAAAATAAAGTGATTGTGGGTTGCCTGCATGAAGTTTCGGAGGTCTGAGGTATTTGTATTCTGTAAGAGAAGTTTTAAGATATCCCAGTTCCCTGAGGCAGCTTGACCTTTAGCAATTCTTTCTAGGCTTGGCATGAAAAGATAGAATTTAAGGTTTTGTAACCTATTATGCAAATGTGAGATCATTTAAAGTGAACTAAAGAATGTTAAAATTGATGAACCCTTAGTGATCCAATCCCCTTATTTAAACATTAAGGCAAGTGAGGCTCAGAGATGTTAGATGACTTCGCCTACATCATGTGGCCATTATAAAACAGAACACTGACTCGTTGATCCCTAGTATTTGGAGGACTGCTCTCAGGGATAACTAAAATTAATTGGAGATTTCCTCCCACCTCAGTTTAAGGACACAATTATTGATTTATACAAATTCATTCAGTAGCCCACTGAAAATCCAATCATGTATTATTGAGTATATTCTAGGGAGTCAATTTAAAAATGATGTTAACATTGATATTAGTCAAATGTAATCCAGAATTTGCTCTTGAAATGGCACTTTTGAGCTTTAATCAATTGCTTTTTTTGTTTTTGTTTTTTAACCTATTTTAATGACATTAGGTCATCACAGATTCAAGGTGCATTAAATCTGTACGGTACAGCCCACAGTTAAGCTTGCCCTTTGGCAGATGCAAACAGCTTCTAAAGGCGATAAGGGCTTTGATAAGGTGAAATTCAAGAAAAGCAATTTATGGCCCTTCTAACATGTCAGGGTTCTTAATTATTATTGCAGGCAAGAAAAACTATAGTCCATGTAACCACCTCTGGCATATGGGGCCAGCACCCTACTCCTTTGAGCCACAGATGCTGCCCAAATTATTAGACATTTTAAGAGATATCAAGGAGGCAGTTGGAGAGTCTAGAGCCTGGGATAGAGGTCTTGACTAAAGATATAAAATTGGGCATCACTTTTGTAAATATGTTTTCAAGCATACTCAGTATATCTAAAGATTATCAGATCTTATCCAGCAGACTAGTTAAGATCATAAAGGTGGTGAGTACAGAGTGGGAAAGAAGAGACCTAAGCAAAGGAGGCCTCCAACATTAAAAGAGGGTGAGAGGCCAGGCATAGTGGTGCACACCTGTAGTCCCAGCTACTTTGGAGGCTGAGGCAGGAGGATGGCTTGTAAGTTCCAGGCTATAGTGTGCTGTGATCACACCTGTGACTAGCACTGCACTCCAGCCTGGGCAACATAGTGAGGCTCCATCTCTAAAATAGAAAAAAGGGAGGAAAGGGAACCAGCAAATAGGCTAAGAAGGAATTGCCAACAAAGAAAACGAGAACAAGGAGTATGTTGTGTGCATGAGGCCTAGTAAGGCAATGATTTCAGAAGGACGACGTGACTTTGACATGAGAGTGAGATGATGACTGAGAATGGATCATTCATCAATATAAAATCACTGTAATCTTGACATAGTAGCTCAGTTGAGTGTTATGGGCAAAGCCTGTGCCTAGTGAGTTTAATAAAAAATGGCAAGAGGAGACCCAGACCACTTTCCTCTTTCAAGTTTTACAATAAATGGAAGCAGAGTGCTGGAGTATAGTTAGAACCATCAAGAGAGGATTTTCATTTTCGCTTTGAAGGTGGGAGAAATAAAAGCATGTTTTTGTATGAAGAGTTGCCCAGCTGAAAAGGAAGATTGTAATAGTTGAAGAGGAGAGGGGATGCGATCTAGTGCCAAGTGAAAACAATCCACTCACAAGCACAGATGCTACTCACTAACAGTCCTTTACAGGAGATCCCACTATCTTCAGACAGACAGGCAAGAAACCAAACACATTCATTTTTCCTGCTAAGAATTAAGAGCATTTAAAGCTACTGTATCTCCAAAAGGAATAAGGAAAGAAGTAATAAAAATGTTTCTATTTTGTAGATAAGGAAAAGTTTAGATGACTTATTAAAAATAATGTGCTAAGCTTCTGAAAAACAACACATTTTGGAAAATTAAAGTTATTTGCTTTGGGCATAAAAATCTTAACTATTCTGAATATCTAACAACTTCTCAAAAAAATATTTTTAACATTGCCTAATTCATATGTTTAAAACTCAGTTCTGGTATCACATCAATTTCTGTTTTCCCTTATAATTATGGGTCTCCATCAGTTTTCTCAACCTTCTTTTAACCTGTGTCCTTTTTTCAAAAACTGGTATCTCACCAATCTTTTCTCCTAACACTTCCACTCATGGAAGACTCCCTGGCATAACTACCAGGACACCGAGAGTGTCACACTCACATCTTTAAATCAACTTCCAGGATGAGATAAAGAATCCCAATTGTCCCCAAAGCACTGTAGTTTCAGGCTCAGGAGGAAAGTTTGTTCATGGTGATGTTTCAAGAAAAAGTTTAGTCTGAAAACTAAACTTAATTTTATTATACAACTTAATATAGGACAATCAATTTGTCTCTTTTCTAAGTGCATGCAATTATCTGGAATATACAATCATTTTTACCAGTTTATAAAAAGCAGTGTTTGTATATTTCTAATCAAAATCTTAACTGTATATCATAATAAACTCTTAACAGATGATAAATTCAAGAATATAAAAATATTCACTTAGATGTCAATGAACTCTTAGTCTTCTGTATCTCAAGGTAAGTACAATCAGTTCTTCACTCTGTCTTAAAATTCAGTCTATGAATAGAATATGAGTATTGCAACTTGGTATCATTTACTGGTCTAAGTCAGCGGTTCTCAACCTGTGGGTTGCAACCCTTTTTTTCCATTTGTAACAACGCAGCAATTAAGAAGGCTGAGAACCAGTGGTCAAAGTGGTAGAGGCTCTAAAATTTCAGTGGGCCAGAGAACTGCATGACTGCATTTAAAATGCATATTCTTGGAACCTACCCTCACATATTCTAATACAGTGGGACTGGCATAGTCCCCAAGAATCTGCATTTTTACAAGTGCCCTCATGGAGATGACATGCATAAAGACTTGAAGGCAGCAAGGAAATGAGAGATGTACTGTAGAAAACACTGTTCAAAATATTCTAGTTTCAAGTTCTAGACTAGTTTAAACTATATGTTAGAAGATGAAATAGCTCCCTGGAGAGAATTCTAGAGTTTTGGTCCACAAATCCCTGGTTCTCAGAGGTTCTAATTCTGTAGTCACAGCAGCAGTACAGTCCTTGCTTGGTCTTGTATACAGATCAAGGCTGCAGAAGGGGACTATTGCAACTCCTAACCTGTGCAAAAATATCCACTTAAATTCTGGATGAAGTGTCCCCGTGAATGGCACCCTTCCAGAGGGTTGAGATGCAGCAATTGTCAAGCTCTTTCCCACCCTAACTTCATCCCTAATGCAACCTTACATATCATCTATATATATCACTAAAGACAACTCTCTACCCTGGCAATTTACAGTACCACCTAGAAAGATTATAAAATGATCCAGGACAAAAAACATTTTTTTTAATTGGAGAGATGTTTTCTAATGCTAGATGCTGTGAAAGTTGCCTTTAACTGCTTCTGAAGACATTATATTTTATTTTCCTTGTGATTGATATTTTTTTCTTTAAGAAAATGAAAGGTGCTCAGTGCCTGTGGCTCAAGTGGCTAAGGCGCCAGCCACATACACCTAAGGTGGCAGGTTTGAATCTAGCCTGGGCCTGCCAAAACAATGACGGCTGCAACCAAAAAATAGCTGGGCGTTGTGGCGGGCGCCTGTGGTCCCAGCTACTTGGGACACTGAGGCAGGAGACTCACTTAAGCCCAGGAGTTGGAGGTTACTGTGAGCTGTGATGCCATGGCCCTCTACCCAGGGGGACAGCTTGAGGCCCTGTCTCAAAAAAAAAAAAAGAAAAAGAAAATGAAAGGCAGGGAGGTTAAGGGACAACCCTAAAAGCTCCTTGTCAAATTAAGAGTAGAAATTATTTTCTGTAGCCCTCTACCTATTACAGCACCACTGTTAGTACTGGGCACCTACTATGTATGGTTCTAGAGATAGAAGAGAATAAACAAAGATAAGATACAGCTCTTGCTGTTGAGGGGACTTACATTCTTTCTGGGAAGATAAGACAAATACATCAAAAGGTAAACAAGTTATGCCACAAAAGGTCACAAAAATATGAAGAGGCTTAAACTACAAAAAAGGCATGAAGCAAGAATGAGCCTGGCTACGTCTCTGTGGCTTACTGGAAAACAGTAAATGCCCAGTTTAGTAGCACTGTTGGTTCACCTATGACTGCAAAGGATAAGATGGTACCCAGAAGGAAAACTTGGAGCCATACTAGAGAGAAGGAACTTGGAATGTCAAGTGGAGGAATTTGGAATTTGACTACAGACAAGACATTTGAAGAGTTTCACACAAAGCAGTATTTGGCAATACTGACAATGTTAGAGACATGTGGAATAGATGGGAGCAGAGCGTGCCTGAAGGCAGCCAGCTACCAGAAAAATCCAGAGAGTGGGTGACAGGGACTCAGACAGTAGATAGTTTCATAAAAATACAACTAAATTGATGTGCTACAGCTGTACCGTCAAGATTTTTCAGCTGATGCTATCAAAATGAAATTTGGGAGGTGTGTGATAGTTTTGGTATCTTTCAAGTATGATCATTTTTATGATAAACAGAATATGAAGGGGAAAAGGAATTTTATTGTTTACATTTTATTTAAGGGGTTGTGACTTCATTCTCCGTGTCCAATCAACTTGGCAATGTACTTTCAAGTACTGCCCAAAAACTTTGGCTTGATAATAAAGAAAAATCTAATTTCAAATGAATTCATTAATTCCAGGTAAATGAAACGATTAGAAACTGCAAAAACTTGGCAGTGATCCTATACTTGTTACAGAACACCTATTCGAAATGCTAATGCATGAGCTACTAATTAGTCATTGAACAAAGACAAGAAAACTTTTTAAGATTTAGAAGTGAAACTTTGCCTATTTTATCAAAGTACACGAACATAGAAACAGTTTCTGAAGAAGTCAGTTAGAATACCAAGATTCTAAATAAAGAGAAAATACCCCTAATTTAATATAGGTAACTGCCTGTGAATAAAGACAAATTGTTTAAACCTAAATTTTTTTTTCTATGAATCTGATGTTTGAGGCGCATCAAGGATACTGACTATCTTGGACATATCCATGTGGAAACAGAGCACATTTTATTGCCCCTGAGCCAAGCAGGTCTCCTTACAATTTGATTCCTCTATCTGAGCTAGTAGAGCTTTGATTCTTAAGGAGCTGCTTCTGGAAAACAGGAACCACAAGCCTGAATTTTCTTTCTGACTTAGTGTCTGTAGCAACCACTGTGTGTGAGCCATTCATGATGCTGCTGCCACCTGCTTTAGAGAGGCATTTTTAAGAAGGTGGGGCTAAATCAGGCTTTTTCCCTATTCCATCTAGTCATGAGGATGCGTGACACGACACTCAAGTTCACTAGTGGACCTTGAATATTGAGTACTCAATAAAACACAACTCTGGACTGTTTCTATCCTCAGCACAACCCACATAAGGCAAAATGCTTCTTGGCCCTTCTCTTCAACCTACTGTCTACAAAATCCTTTTTCCCTTTACTCATTTCCATAACTAGAACAAGTTTAGAGATCAATGTGTTTTTAACCTTCTGTTTCATGATTTAACCACAAATTCACCATGACTCAGATTTACAACACATAAAATATAGTCATTAATTAATACTTTGCCTTCAGGGATGTTCGGGTTTCTAAAGGATATAGAACAAGACAGAACTGAGCCCTAACAATGTAGATTAGCCTAAGAACACTGGGATGAATTAATATGTTAAACGCCTATGAAGCATAAAATTCACACCCATGTTAAATATGAACAAGTTCAACGTTATGCTCAGGGAAGGACTCCAAAGTGGAAGTTTTCATTCTTACATTTATTTTCCTTCAAATCTACTGTATTTTTCTGTAATGATATGAAAAGTCTTCACTTCCCTTTTCCCAAGTGTTGGCATTCAAAAAGCCAAAAAGTCTATTAACCATAGACTAATCTTCATCTCTTTAATGTTTTATGCTGATTTAGTTTCGTATGTATTTATATTCGTTTTCCTTAGGGATTTATACATAGATATATATATATATATATTCCTACACATATATATACAAGCTTTTTATCCTCATCTTACCACTTGACAATACAACTTTAAGTATGTTTTACACAGCTGTTCCTTGGTCAAGGTCATTTGCAAGAGCAAGTCGGTTTCTGAAGAAATCTTGTTTGGTGGGTGAAGGATCCATTGAGGGATTCTCATTAGTTTTTTCCCTGTATTCTGATCCACTGGACCTAAAATCTCAGCACACAGATAAAGTACAGGTTGATTTGGTTTTAATTGTTTTCAAATATTTTATCTATCCAAATTGTTTTGCATTTGTAAAACAGTTGCTTCCTAGATCTGGAATAATTTTTATTCCCTTGAATTTCATGACTCAGGACATGTGTATCTAAGACTTGCGTCTAAGACTTGCATCCAGCATAAAGAGAATATCTTTCTAAGCCTTTAAGGGGACAACTGTGACAACTGTAAATGTCAGTGTAAGATATTGTGTAATAACATTGTAACAAGGAATAAAAGTTCAGATAATTCAAGAAATCCTATTTTTGATTCAATGAAGTAACAACTCCACAAATTACCAAGACCCTTAAATTAAAGTGGATGGAATTCATTGTTCTTAACGTTATCAAGGGCCTTTACTGAATTTGCCATTACATTACAAACTCTTGCTTTTGCTTGTTTTCATTTTTAAGTGAAAGATTTATTAAAGCCAACCACACATATATGCTACATTTGGTAGAATGCAGAAATGAGTACAGTAATCAGATTTAAGAGATACTATAATCTCAAGCACCACAGAGGAGACCAAGACCAACCAAGAGTCAACAACTCAAATCAGTCCATTTGAGTCCCCAGTCCAGGCTGCTTTCTTCCTTTATCTTGGATAAGCCAGTTGGGGTAATCCATTCCAGCTCTGCACCTTTTCCAGTCTGTTCAGAAGTCCCTGGAGGGAGGAGGCTTTCTGGAAATAACCTCTGATAAGCTAGACTGGGGCCCTTAGGCTAGCTTACACTCTGAGCTAGAATGGGTAAAACTGGCCCAGACACTAAGAACCAATATCAAAAAACCTCATGCATGTTTTATGAAAGTGACGTTAGGCATGAAGTTCTTTGTCCAAAGCTCCTACACACTGAACAAGTTCTCCATTTACTGAGGCTGAGTCAGGTATGCTTCTGCTAGCCACAAAAGAAGGATAAACGGCTTCCATGCTTTCACTGTAGTTCTCGTACACTGTTGTTGAGTCCTAATTGTTACTGGATAAGTTACTTATGACTCTGTAGTTTACTGATTTAATCAGGCAGAATTCAAATGTACCTTTGTACATTATTCAAGGAAAGAAGTTAGATCCACACAAAGACTAACATCCTGATGTCTGGAAACCTGATGACTGGCTAGATATTTTCACTTTTCACCCTGATATTTGATGTCACAGATAAAGCCATAGGTGCTTACCAGCTTTCTATTTCTGGTAGGGAAGAAGCACTTTTTCTCTCTACCTCCCAGTGCAAAAAGGAAAAACTACTCTCTCTCAACTCTAGTACATCTTGGTATGCATCAAGCAGGATGCTATCCGGATAGGGTGAGGGTCTCTTCCTTTTCAGTTACCCCCCTGCACTCTCCCTTGCAATAGCCTCCACATGCCCCACCCTATAAAGCTCCAGACCTTCTCTCAGCTCTCAAAACTCCCACCTACCTCCAGTTCAAATCACCCCTGCTTAGTATAGTTGTGCCCAAAATTTGTTATGAAGATGTATTTTGACCATTTCATTCTTTCCCTGTATCTTCTATAATTCCTAAGGCTAGCAATGCCTACAGTTTTAGGGACAGGAAGCCGGGAACGATATTTGAATTGGGCTGCTGTTTCTTCTGACTGTTCTTCCACATGACAGTCATCAGAAAGTCATTAGTAAAAACTTGAAATCTTCTTCACCTCACGTTCCCCCTCTTAGCTACCTCTGATCTCTTCAAAACCCAACATGTCACACTTTGATGGTTCCAACATGCAACTGTTTTAGTGTTTACCTGGAAATGGGAAAACTTTGATGTCACCACCAGCCCCAAGGACCACAGAAATCTTCACCAGTTGCGTTCCCATTTCTGAAACAAATGCCAAAATCGCCCTGTCTAGTTTTCAAAGTCCATACACTCAGCTTAATTTTTTGCTTTTTTAACTGCTCTCCTCACAAATTATACCTTCCTTGTGTCTCCAATATCTAAACTTCTCTGTATTTCTTGATATTATTAATTAACTAATGGCTAACTTGTTAATCCTTTTTGAAATCCAGCATTCTACTGAAGCTGACTAATAGCTCATTTCTTCCTTTAAAGATAACTTTAACTGACCTCCTTATAATGCTTATGTGGTTTATGGCCACCCCTGGACTCTTCCAAAGGTGTGGCTCTTGCAGTAATGTATACTTGAATTACTAGAAAATAATCCACAGAATCTAGGAGAAAGGGCCAGAATATTTGCTTTTTTTTTTTGAGACAGAATCTCACCTTGTTGCCCCCCAGTAGAGTGCCATGTGTCACAGCTCACAGCAACCTCAGACTCTTGGGCTCAAATGATTCTCTTGCCTTAACCTCCCAAGTGGCTGGGACTATAGGCATCCACCACAATGCCTGGCTATTTTTAGAGAGGAGGTCTAGCTCTGGCTCAGGCTGGTCTTGAACCTGTGAGCTCAGGCAATCCACCCACCTCGGCCTCCCAGAGTGCTGGGATTACAGGCATGAGCCACCACGCCCGGCCCCCAGAATATTTGTTTTTATTCCCTTTCTCTATAAAACACAAAAGGGTTTTGAGCTCCTAGAGCTATTCTGGTGGACTGCGGCGCAGATCTGCACAGAAGCTACAGGGACAAGCAGGCAAATCCTCGCTGGGGAAGGGCACAATGGCTGCCAGCAAATTCTGACACAGTCATCCAAGCAATTGATGGAAAGAGGAAAAGACAACAGACCTGTTGCTAACCTGCCTTCCAAATAACAGAGACAAAGAAAATAATAAGTTTTAGAGACTGGTCATACCAGTCTATATTTGCTACAATAAACCTTGAGAGCTTGTCTATTGCTATGGATGTACAAGGAGTGAAATCCAGTGCTAGTGAATCCTTTGACTTAAGAAGGGCTGGTTTGCCCATTGCAAAGACCATCCTCCTAAAAGCTTTAGGAGACGTGTATATGTCTCAAGAAGTAAGGGAACAGGGAACACCCACCCTGTCACCAAACCAGTCAGCCTTGGTAATCAAATCAACAGCCCTGTGTGGCTCCTCCTTCCACTCAGATAATACTTCAGATTTTAAATACAAAGGACAGTGCCAGTATTGGTGACAGCAATATGACTAATGCAGGAGGAACTGACCTATGAGAAAGGCCAAAAGGACTAAGGGACTCCATTGGCCCTTCATCTAAGGAGAACCCCGAAAAGTTGCAAGAGGCCTAAAGGCAATTAGCCAACATGGATGTGGAGAGCTCACAGCAAGTAAGCTCTCATTTAATAAATATTTGTTGAGCGCTTACAACGTGCTATGCTGTATCTTGCAACTAAGTTACCTTTACATTGAACTGTAAGCTCCTAAGGAACAGGACTACTTCTTTTATGTCTTTTGTGCCGGAAGGAACTTAGTACACTGAAGACCCTGAACTTAGTAACTGATTCCAGACGGCTTACTGAGAAACTTTTGTGATCAGGGTTAAGCAATCTAAAATGTTTATTCCTTCAACTATCACCTTCAAATTTAAAGTTATATTGAAAATGAAAAATGAGAGAGGGCTCCAAAGTGGATAAAAATATGGGAGAGAGTTGATATGGGCTTTAAGGAGATAGAGAAGAAGGTGAGGATAAAAGTAACAATTGATTCTTTAGCAGCTTTCTATTATGTGGTCTGTTCCATAGCCCAGGCTGGGGATATATCAAACAGGGAGGAAACCAACGAAGAAGATTCACTGATCATTCAATTACGGGGCAGGGGCTCTGTAGAAGTCCTCTGTGTGTGTAATTAAGAAAACAGATTGTGACGTGATTGGTAGGAGGAGGGGGGGTGACAGCATATAAGTTATAAAGTGCTAAAGGGGAAGAGAATAGATGAGGAAGTAGATTTAGTCATTTGGAGGCCATATTCTTTATCTTCAACTCCCCCAAATTTGAGGCTAAAAACAGAGAGTACCATCTACATTCCCTACTGCTAAGTGATCTTCTCCATTGCCATTCCCCCAATTGAGAATACCTGTTAACCTAACTGCAAGACTTATTTAGAAAGATGAAGTATCATTTGCCTCAGAATAATCTAAGTTTAAGTCTTTGACATCCTTCATATAGATCCTTCTAGAATGAGACAGTTTGCCTTCCATCCTGCTCAAAGACTGGAGGGTAAGTATTCAGTCCAGCATCAGCCTATCACAGTGGGTCTGTTCCTAGCTTCTAGAAATCCTCATTTAAAATGTTTAAAGTCACTTAACATTTTCAAACTTTAAGATATAGAGCCTTTATTCTGATCAATTCTGGGCAGCTTTCAGGGACATGTGACTTGGCATCCACCCAGGAAAAATGTGCCTGAGATGGAAACAATCACCAGATCATCCTTGCCCCCAGATATCATGGGCATTTTTCAGGATTTTTTATATGATGTCAACTTGACTCTCCCTTTTGAATCCTCGTGGGTATGAACATTCGGCCCGCCCAGCCTCAGAGGGAAGAGAACCCTTTCTCGGGTTTTCTGCTGCATCTGGCTCCATGCCTAGCTTCATCCCGAAGCAGCATTCTGGGTGTGTGGGGCCACCAGCCAAACAAGCCCCTATGGAACAAAAAGTGTGTGAGTGTAGACAGGAATGAGCCTCCTGAGGGCTGCTGGGGGGGAGGCAGTGAGCCCCAGACATGACACAAGTGGCTTTTCTGGCACTGGCCCACATAGACCTGTGAAGCTAGGCTCTAGAATGGTTTCAGTACTTAGGATTAGCCACATCTTAAAGTCACAGGGCTTGCGGCCAACCTGACCTCCTGATATGCAAGAGGAGAATAGGCTGAATATCTCTTCTGGTTCCTTCCTATAATTATTCACATGCCTGATTTCAGAGGACAAGTGCCTGTGTAATGGCTGGGACCATGTCACTCACAATTCCTACTCAAGTGTCTTGTATAGGACATGCATATAAGAAAGAATGCTTAATGAATGAGAAGAACTATGTGTTCTTATCTGAGTTAAAAGCCAAATGCCTTCCTGCACTGCACTGGGGCTCCCTGCCCTTCCTCTCTACATTATAGTGGAATAATGTTTCCATGGGCCTCAGATGAAAACACTCAGAAGAAGCTACTTCAGCTGCTGCTTTATCCCATGCCAAGTTCCCAAATGCCCCATGGCACCCTAATCACCTAATGGTGCTGACTGTCCTGGGGCAGATCTAAAAATCCAGGAAAGCCTGCCAGAAAGTCATGTGTGGCTCCACCATACTTCCACTCAGATTAACACTTCAGATTTTAAATACAAAGGACAGTGCCAGTACTGGTGACAGCAATATGAATGATGCAGGAGGAACTGACCTACAAGAAAGGCCAAGAGGACTAAGGGACTCCACTGGCCCTTCACCTAAGGAGAATCCCTAGAAGTTGCAAGAGGACTGAAAGCAATTAGCCAACATGGATGTGGAGAGCCCACAGCAAGTCCTCCACATTAACCAAGGCCCATAGGGAGCCTGGAAAATAAAACTTAGTCTTATCTTGCTCTTAAATTGGGCTTTAAAATTATAGGTTCCAAGGCCATATTATAGGTTCTTGTTTCAGGTGATTAAAAAATGTGATTACTCAGATTAAGCTACAACAAAGTCAAACTACAAATAAAGCAAATCCCCACACTAGAAAGGACTCTGGTGATTTCTTAAGCAATCTCCCACCAGTGCAGGAATCACTTTCATAGCATCCCTTGACAGAGTCATCTAGCTTCTACATAAGAGAACCCACTCCCAGGCAGCTGTATTTCCAGGAAATTCTTCCTCTTACTTACTGCCCCTAGCTCCACCTTCTGGATCCACAGAGGACAGAACTACTCCTGTGTTATGTACATGGCAGAGCATTTTCCTGGATCTATTGTTCACTGTTTTCTAACTGACAGCACCCAGTCATTATAAATGGTAAAGTGCAAAAAGCGGTGTTTTGTTTGGGGAATGTTGTAGTTTAAAAAAAAAAAGAAGAAAGGTGACACACCTCTTGGAGGCAGGACATAAGAGGCATTTTACCTAACAAATGCAATCAGTGTAACCTGGTTCTCTGAACCCTCAATGAACTCCCAACAATAAAAAAAAAAAGTTTAAAAAAAAAAGAAAGAAAAAGAAAAGGGCTCAAGCAGTGAGTCATGAGCCCTTAGGATTCTGGAGTACTTAGAAAGATCTAGGAAGCTAAATGCCAAGGTTGGGAGTTGTCTGCTTCCATACCCTCTTACCCAAACTTGACAGAGGTAGGCACCGTGCCAAGAAAGATCAAAGTCTATGATCCTAGCAGGAGGTATATAATTGTTAATTCCTCAACCCCTGAATAAAGGCGGTTTAGGGGTCCAGCAGTAAGCACACGTGCATGCTCTGGGTGCCTTAGCCCAAGTGAAAGAGGATGCAGGACTGTGGCTAATTACAGAACTGGTGTTCTTCCTTCCTCCTCCCCTCCTCCAGTAACAACAGGCAGACACAAACCTTAAGAGACCCACTCATTTCATTCGATACCAGCCTCTTCATGAGAGGAGAATTAGACAAATCATAAAAAATGTCCACTCCAGGCCTGCCCTCAACTATTCCATGGAAACCATTATCTAAATCAGCTAGTAACCTCTACCTTCAAGGAGAAAGTGATTTCCCTGTGCTTCCTAGCTCATCAGCAACTCTATAAAGACAGCAATAATGCCTTTCTTTAACTTTTCCACCCATTAAAATACAAAGACTTGCTGTTTAAAACTCACTGCAAGAGCCTCCTCTACCAAGAAACTGAACAGCAGGGAAAATCTCTCTCGGATGGAGGGTGGGAGGCCTAAGGACCAGTGGAGATACAAATAGCATCTCTCAGGCAGGCAAAAGTTGGACTGGTGAACCTCTCTATGGTCAAACATTAATGGTCACTTCTCTCTTCTTTACATTTTACTTTGGGGGTTACTTTGGCCACTGACTCCCAGACTGGAAGACAGTGCTGACCAAAATGCCTGGAGGTAAAGTTTCATATGACAACAATGACCTAGACTCTCATAAAGACCACATAAGGAAAATGATTTGTTTTTGCCTTCTATGGCATATGGAAATGCCACTGAAGTGACTTTTCAGTGGGGCCAAAGCCAAATCTATGTGTTCAGGGAAAACACTAGGAGAGGTCCCAATCCACGTGTACTAGCACCCAGGATGATGAGGGGCCCCTAAAGGCAGAAGTGCTGAGATACCCTTAGAAAAACCTTGCACAGGTGGGAGATTCTGATGGAGCACCCATTACGCCCAACTCCAATAGTGGTCCCACTCCACCCAGTCCAAAAGGACTTTGAACGTCACTACTTTCTGTCCCAGGGGACCTCTTCTGCCCACTTCTTTCAGGATACATGATTTTGGGGACAAGGAAGGAGGAACAAAAGACAAAAGAGGCAGGGGAGAAGGCTAAGTTTGCATCTATTCTAGGAGATTACAAGGAGAAACACCTTCACCCTGTAGGAATCGTGGCTACTGGGACCAGGCACTGAACTTGAAGCAGTTGTGTGAGACCAGGCTACTTGATACTTATTACTGTTAAAACCTCAAGACTTAGCCCAAAGGGAAATGAGTTACAATGCTGTCTTGTCTCAGGGCTACTCACTTCTTTTTAAAGAGCTTGCGGAAGGAGCTGCGAAAGCCCCCTTTCTGGTCTTGCCTGGGATTTTGATCGCTGAAAGATGTTTGTTCACTTTCTCTTTCTTCCTTTGGACAGAATCTGGTGGCGTCTTCTAAATGCATCTCCTGAAAACACAAAAGAAGGATTTTTTAAACCCTTTTCCAAAATTATTATCTATCCTGACTATGGGACAATTTTTAGCCTTGTCACTTTCCTTTCCCACCCTAAAAGACTACCAGTGGGTGCTCAATCCCAACTAAGCAAACCTAGGCTAATGAAAAATCAGGAGGTGGGAAGAGGATACTTCTCTACTAAGAATAGTATTTTCTTTGAATAAAGGCAAATAGTGTAGAGCAGAATATGATATGAGAAGTTTAACTAATGTTTTAAAAGTATAAAAATTAAATTCTTGTTTTGGCACCAACACTGTCTCGCTAGAAAACCAGTAATAATCCCCTCCAATCATAGGATGTTTCTCTTTATATAAATTAAGAAAGTTCCTTAATTGCAATTCTAGTTTTAAACTTATGTTCCTAACTCTCCATTTTAGACATAAATGAGGGAAGGAGTTTTTGAGAGGTCAGACCTACTTAGAAGTAAATGTTAACTAATATTTCCAATCTACAAATATGCCTTTAATACAATTCTGTAATTCTTAACCCATGGTATTTGGAGTATAAAGTGAAATGAAGTGGCCAGGCACAGTGGCTCATGCATGTAACACTAACACTCTGGAAGGGACCCCGTTTCTACTAAAAATAGAAAAACTGAGGCAAGAGGATCACTTGAGCCCAAGAATTGAAGGTTGCTGTGAGCTATAATGCCACAGCACTCTACCCAGAGGCAGAGCTTGAGACTCTGTCTCAAAAAAAATTCAAGACCTAATATTCTGGGAGGCCAAAGCAAGTGGATCACCTAAGCTGAGAAGTTCAAGACCAGGCTGAGCAAGAGTGAGACCCCATCTCTACTAAAAATAGAAAAACTAGCTGGGCATTATGGCAGGCGCCTGTAGTCTCAGCTACTAGGGAGGCTGAGGCAAGAGGATCACCCGAGCCCAGGAGTTTGAGGTTGCTGTGAGCTATAATGCCACAACACTCTATCCAGGTTGACCAAATAAGACTCTGTCTCAAAAAAAAAAAAAAAAGTAAAATGAAGTAACAATAAAGCTGTATTTTTTTGTGTACTCTTCTTTTTTTGAACTCTTTAGTTTCTTTTTAAATGTGAGATGTACCAAATAACAGATGTGTGTGTGTATGTGTATATATATACACACGGGTGTTAATGTGCATACAAGCTATTTACATACTCTATGAACAAAATATTTACCTTGAGGTAATTACAATTTAAAAGCAATCTAAAAATAGCTGCTTAATTTTAATTAACCTTAAAAGAACCCAAGAAGTCAAAGCAAAAACCATACCAATGATGCCATGAAAGTTTCATGACTTAGATGAGTGATTGCTTGCCGATAGGGAAGCAGAGCATGAAGATGAATTTTTTTCAGGAAATATAGGGGTTTAAGTTTGAGAAATTAACTTGGAGTTGTAGTAGCAGATCTAGAAATTCTGAGATTCTACCAAGATTCATAGCTAAAACACGGAGATAATATCTCCATGGCTTAGTGTAACATTTACCAAAGTGTGGTAGGTCTGGTAAACAACCACAAATGTATTACCCATTGTTAGTTTCTCAGATAATTATTTCCATCACTAATTTCTCAGATAATTATTTCCAATTAATGGTTTTTGCCTACCAATTGCCGAACCCCCAGTTTTCCACATTACTAACTAGAAAGAAACATTTTTTTATGAACATGTGAAAGTGTCCTTGACAGCACGGACTATACTAATCAGAAGGTTTTATATGTAAACCTCTGTCTAGCCCCAGTTCCTTTGACACTATCACTTCCTTTCTACTTTCCTTGCTTAATAACTTTTTAACCTTGACACATGCCTAAGACTGATTTGTCCAAGAAGTTTTTGGCTAAGAGAATTTTATAAAGTTCAGAGTTGTAAATCAGAGCCAGAAGAGAATCTGAGAAACCCGGGGAACCTGGATAACTTTAGCTAAGCGCACTTGTGTTTCTGCCCTCTGCGGGTACCAGACACAGACTGACTCCTGGAGTCCAGGTGGGCAGCAACCTTCAAGCTCTTCATGATCTAGCCCTTTCCTATCCCTCTGGCCTAAATTTCCACCACTCCCACCTGGCACGATCTGCTAAAGGAAATGCATCAGCCTGCTGTTTTATGCTGAAGAGCCTCTTTTCATGCTTCACTACCTCACTCTTCCCCTACCCAACTTCTAGGGAGCTTTTAAAATCTAACTCAAAAATTCAGTGTATTCAGAAGGCCTTTTCTGACCACCATCACCCAAGAGGTTTTAAACACCCCTTCATGTGCTTCCACACTTTATGCTAATTCTGTGTTCAGTGTCTTCTTCCTATACTAAGCCAGGGTACCTGGAGGACAGAAACTGTTTTATTTCTGAATTCTTGGCAATTAGGACAGAGCCTAGTGTAAGGCAAGCATTCAGTGTTTGCTGGAAGATTAACAAAATAAAGGAGTTAGTGATTATCAATCTGTTCTCACTCGAAAATGAGAACAGCTGAAAGGGAAGGGTGGTGCCAGAGGTCGGAAGTATCATGTTAGTCTCTGCTTAATCAGAAATTGCTTTTGGGTGGGTTGCTGGGGCTCATGCCTGTAATTCTAGCTCTCTGGGAGGCCAAAGCCAAGGATTGCTTGAGCTCATGCTGAGCAAGAGCCAGATCCCATCCCTACTAAAGTAGAATAATTAGCCAAGTGTCATGGTGGGCTCCTGTAGTCCCAGCTACTTGGGAGGCTGAAACAGGAGGTTCCAATAAGTCCAAGAGTTTGAGGTTGCTGTGAGCTAGGGTCACACCATGGTACTCTAGTCTGAGCAACAGAGTAAAATCCTGTCTCAAAAAAAGTAATGAAAGAAGGGAGGCAGGGAGGAGAGAATGAGGGAAGGGAAGGGGAAGAGAAGGGAAAGGGAAGGGAAAAGGAAGGGGAAGGGCAAGAAAGGAGAAAAGAAAATAAATTGCCTCTGTTTCAATGGCATACAGAGAAATTAAGTATTTGTGCTCAGGAGCCATTAGCCCTTTGGTGGATTCATAGTTAAATACCTCTTTGAATACCCCCAAGGCTTGCCCATACCAAGGTTCCGACCTCAAAATACCTCAACTCGGGCTAAAAGGAAATATTTTCTAGTCAATGCTTTTGTGACTATTTGGGCTAAAGGAAATATTTTCTAGTCAATGCTTTTGTGACTATTTGGGGTGTCTCTATCCCAATGGAGTTTGCAAATTAATGTAACGCTTTTTTCCAGTAAGCAGAAATGAAATTAGCTTTCCGGCCAACTTCCTAGGCAACCTACTTGAGATAGGGCAAACTGTCTCCTCTCTGGCTCCAAACCAGTATGGCGGGGGTACCGCCTTCCAGTGCGATCATTCAAACCAGGACTTGCATCTACCAGGCGGAAGAAAAAGGCCTGGGACTTGTGTTCAGCACGTTGAAAAAAGGACAACTTGAGGAGCCACAAGCTTAAGCAGGAAAAAAATCGCCCCTAACTCCTTAAAACAGTGTGCGTGCGTGTGTGACATAGCGTCTATAAAAGGGTTGAGGTCTTCTCTGCTCTTTGCTCTCAGACATGAATATGTGTGACATGCCCTGTGTCCTGGTAGTGAAGAACGGGCGCTACCTCTCGCCTTTAAGGGCCATTGAGGCACAGCCTGTAACTCGGGGGAGGAGGGACTTCCCCGGGCTCTACCTCTGTTTAGCCGCGCCCCGCGGACTGCGCCCCGCCTGCCCTGAGCGCCTAGCCTGGCCCGCTCCCCTCCACGCTGGTTGAGCTCGGGCTGCTCCCTGCAGACCTAGGCCCGGGGCCGCCGGTGCTGTGGGTTTCGTTTCGGTTTTACTTTACCCTCCTTACTTCCAAATAGGTCTGTTTTTCGCTTTGGGACCTCTGTTGGGGGAAGAAGGTCCGCGGCGCACCGCGCGCGGCGGCGGCCACGGCAGCCGGGCCGTGCGGCTGCGCGGCGCGCTCGGACTTGAGCGGCGCGCGGCCGCCGCTGCTGCTGCGCGTGCTGTACAGGCGCGGGGCCACGCCCTCCGGGGGCGGCGCGCGCGGGAACTCCTTGAGCGAGCGGCTCAGCGGCTTGGCCTTGCCGTGCGCCTGCGCCTGCGCCGCCGCCTCCAGCTTGTAGGCGCCGCTGCTGCTCGCGGGCGACGTGGCGCTCTTGGGCAGCGGCTGCATTGGGTGCTCGGGCCGCTCGGCCTCCATGGCGAAGCTGACCGGCCGGAGGAAGCAGATGTCCAGGCTGGACTCGGAAGAGGCAGGCGAGCAGTTCTCGAAGAGGGTCGGCGCCTGGAAGGACTCCTCGTCGTAGGGCGCGGGCAGAGCGAAGATCTCGCCGCCATATTCGAACTCCTCGTAGCCCGCGGGCACGAAGCCGCGCGCGTCGGGCAGGAGCTCGGCCGGGGCGCGGAGGGAGCGCTCCACGTTGCCGAGCGGCTCGGCGGGAGAGGGCTCGAAGTCCATCTCCGGGATGGCCTGCAGGGGCCCGGCGAGCGCCTTCACGTCCTGCTCCGCCGCACAAAACTGCGCCGGCGCCAGCAGGCTCTCGGGCCTCTCATGCTTCCTGCCCTCAATCTCCCAGTCGCTGGGCTTCCCGGGCTGCATGCTCTCCATCAGGCTTTGCTGCTGTTGGCTTTTCTTCGGTGGGGGCATCAAATGTCTTTAAAGGGGAAACAGAATACAAAAGAGGTGTGCTTACGGTTTGTTAGTGCAGGCCTCTCCCCAAGCAGCGCAAGGCCTCGACA